TCCCACTCCTCCCCCCCTGAAATTTGAGGGACAATTCACGAAGAGAAGTTATTAAATCCTGTATATTAATTAATGTAATTACGATTTATACTATTCGTGATTAATTACCTCTATTGGTAGGCTATAATTAACGAGAAATTATTGATGAATTTCATTACAACATGAGTAGCAGCTAGAGTAAGTCAAGCTCAAATGAATAAACAAAAAAAAAAAGAGAGAGAGAGGAGCCATCACTCTCGAGATTAATTAATCCTTGTTTCATCGTTGATTGCACAAAAACAGTTAGTCGAGAGTTGAGAGTGGGCCTAATAATCAGACCCAGAGTGAAAAATTATTGGAAATATAAATTGTCAATGGAATTATTTGGAAAGCTAAATTAATTGACTCGAACAACATATCCTAGTGTACGTGGGGCTGCACCAAGTCTCTTCAATATCATTGTAATAATTTGTACGTAAAAATGAATAATTGCACAATGCATGAGTCCCAATTACGTTTGTACAAAACTCGATGTGAAATATTCACTTCTGATCGACAACTTCATAACGAAAAGAATTATTTCCCCGAGATTGAGAAATGTGTAACACTCTGAAAAAATTATTCACAATTATTTTCACGTGGAAATTGATATTATTTATTGAAAATTATGTTGAAAAAAGTGTGATTGCTCGAAATGCCATATAAATTCCTGGGGAATTGGCCTCCAGAAAACCACGACACCCAGTCGTGCGTATACAATTTTAACCTCGAGAAATCATCGCAGAAATAATGAATTAATGAGTAATTGTCATTTTTAATAAAACAATAGGGACAAAAAATGCCCATAAAATGATGAAATTCTCGTAGAGAGAGTAAAGAAGTGATGGATCCACAGCTACTGGCCACTCATTTTGCTTTTCGCAGTGTAAATTGAATTCAATGAGGAGACAACTAATTATTATAACTAATTAAAAATCAATAAGAGGGATAGGAGTGAGAGTTGATGAAAAAACACAGCATTAGATGATAATGTCGAGGTGTTTTTGGCTGTAATGACACATTTATCATTGTCTGATTTGATATTTTGTAAGTCTGGACCAGTTATTAGGTTCTTAATTACTCCCATAGCGACTTCTTATGGCGTATTTTCTCTGTATATTGTCAATGTTTATTATTAAATATTTTTCAAATAAGTCTTCGCTCAATTCGTACATCAGTTCTCTCCAAAATCCATCCATTACTAAATCCTCCTCTTTTCTCCACTTTTCATGACAGTAAAACTCAATTGATTTGTCTTGTCAAATTTATTAGAGACAAAAAAATAATGCGATTTGTGAAATTACAGTGTGAACATTTTCTTAAACATATTAATAACTCATCAATGCTCTATAGAATTTATCTCGTTAATCTCTCAAATATATCACAACATTTTATACTTTAATCTTCATCAGTCTGAGGCTTTAATGCTCTCCAGGCACTTTGTAGTATCATCTATCAACTTCTGATAAATCTATCGTAGATAATTGTGAACTTCAGGCCACAATCGTTGCCAGACTCGTCAATTTTTTTCTTATTAATAATAATAATTGTGAGTCAACGGTGACTATAAAAAAAGATATTAGTACTTTTACGATGGGTCAGTTATTTGGGGCTTAATTAATTAATTAATTAAGTCGTGCTCGCTTTGGCTTGGAGCCAGGTACGTCGAATACGTGTTCTCGAATAGGGTTGACCTGAGGTATCACGTTGGGGGCGACTGGTGGTGTATTTTCGTTGCTGGAACTTGCCCTCAGCAAAGCCCTCACAGCTTTGCCAACAATAACGTCTGAACGCAGCCAGGAGTGCGCCAACACTTGCTTCATGGTCTTGCGTCTTACTGGATTCACCTTCAGCATCGATTTTATCTGAGAAAGATGCGTCATTATTTGGTGATTGAATTTCCTTGGAAATAGAAAAGAGAAAATCTTATTGGAGTGCATCCAACCGTTTTTTAATGAATTTTCTAAAGATAAATTATTGAAAAATAATTGGACCTGATGCAAAATCACTTCTTTAATTAATAAGATAAAATATAAAATCTTACTAAATCTCTGGCTTCGATACTGACATCATCAAACTTGTGCGATGGAAACCTGTAAAATCCCCTGATAATCTGCTGATCGAGGGGCATCGTGGGGTCATTCTGAGTGAATGGACAAAGCCCAGAAAGCATGACATACAGAATGACCCCAAGACTCCAAACATCAACCTGTGCCGTATAAGCCCCCATGCCCCTTCTCCTCAAAATCTCAGGTGCAACATAAAGAGGTGTTCCACAGTAAGTCTTGAGCATAGAGGGGGCATCGAGGAACTTGGACATTCCAAAATCAGAGACCTTCACAAGGGGATACTTAGCATCAGACGCCAGAAGTATATTCTCAGGCTTGAGATCCCTGTGGGTGATACCCTGAGAGTGTAGATACGCCACAGCATCGCATATCTGCCAGAACATAAATTTCGTCACTTTTTCCGGTAGCCCAGAGGCCCTGCTGATTCTGTCAAACAACTCGCCACCCTCCATGAGCTCCAGGACAATGAATACTTTATGTGATGTGTCGATTATCGTCTCCATCTTGATGATGCAGGGATGCTGGAGCTTCTGGAGAATGTCCACTTCTCGCTGAATCTTTATGGGATCGTGGAGAGGATTTCTCGGACCAACTTCTGTGTATTTTCCCTTGGATATGGATTTTATGGCGAATGTGTTGAAGGACTTTTTCGAGAGGACCATGTGAACATCACCAGCAGCTCCTGAGCCCAATTTTTTTATCACTGTGTACTCAGAGGCCAATTGACTTGGCAGCTCGTTGTTGGAGTATGTCACGTCACCGTCAAAAGTGAACACTGCGTAAGAGCCATTAGTTCTTTCTAAAATATGGGGGAGAGCGGAAGAGGATTGATAATAACACAGACCTTCACCCATGCATTACCCACGACGTCACTGAATGCCAGGGAATAGTGGAGGCATTACTCCCGGAATTATTTATAAAATCGTCATTTCTGATTAATAAAAATTAAATCAAGATAGTGAATTACCTGTGAATTGGGCTCTGCCCACTGCAATCTCGTCTTTATTTTCGAGGACAACACTTTTATCTCTTCCTACGATTTTTCTATTGACGAATGTACCATTTCTGCTGTGATCGGTGAGAACGACAACAAAATCGTTTATAGAGGGTATAAAATCCCTTTTGATTGTGAAGTGCATTCTGCTGATCACCTGGAGTCCTTCTTTATTTATATTGTTGCAGGTGAAGATAATGTCACAGTCTTCCTGCTTTCCAGCTTTATATTCGTTGGTGTACAGCCACACGAGAGAAAATTTTGGGCATTTCTCACTGGGCACTAGCTTTCCCCAGGCCTTTTTCTCCTCCTGGGTCGCCTGGGACGGCGTCATCGTTACATCAGATTGACTCTGAGTCTGAGTCTGAGTCTGAGTTTGAGTCTGAGAATCAGTCTCTACATCACTCTGCATTATCTCTTCAAATTCCATTTTCTTAGATTTTTTTTTTTTATTTCTCTGTCTGAATTCACTGAAACAAGAATTTGGATTTCGATTTTTTCAGGAAATTACCAAATGATCCTCGATCTTTATGAAATTTGTGGATATCTTGGAAGGTGGTTTCTGAGTTACAATTTTCTGAAGGAATAATTTTTTCTAGAATTATGAAATTAAATTCAATTATGACGGAATTAGCGAATTATCTTTGTGTGGAAATAATAGAAATTGTCAATTAATTAAATAACAGCATTCACAGATCTTTAGCAAATAAATGACGCAGCAGATGGAATTCCTCGCCAAGATTTTGCGAGGGAAAGGATAACAAAATGGCTTTCCCTTTCTGTTCTAGCAAAACGATTGAGAGAAATTAAAATCGTTTACCTTTTTTCAAGGGAAATCTCCTAATCAACGCGACTTGTCGAGCCAACTGTCATTAATCGTAACGAAATGGAACGAATGACAAATAAAAATACAAAAAATCGAATAAAGACAGACAAACAACGAAAATTGACAACAACTTGAAACCGGTTAGGACATCGCTTTTGTGAGAAATTATGAGGATAATCAAGACATTATGCACGTGAGGAAGAAGCCCCCAACGCCGAAAATGCCCGGAAAAATTCAAAAATGAAAAATTCCCCGTGAAAGCATCATTAAATGATTAATGAATACTTTTTTTCTCTGGAGAGTGTCAAAATAAATAAATATGACTCAGTAAATCTCCCAATATTTTTTTATTCAAATTGTACGTTTTTTTTTTGTTGGACTAGAGGAAAATACAAATGAGGAAAATACTCTTGGGTCCGTGAGGAAATCATGGGCTGCACTTCAGGAACTTAAAAAGTCTTTTTTGAGTCTTCTCCACTTCTGGCTGCCTCTTGAGATCTAAAAAATTAATATCCGTTATTTGATTGCAGTAAAAAAGTTGAAATCTCATTATTTCATTGCACTTTCAATGAATAAAATGAAATAATTCTTTTTTACACTGCAATATGAGGACTTACTTATGAGATCTGAACCGAGAGGAAGAGGTTCCGTCCTCGAGGACCTAATTTCCCTGAGGACAGTAGCTTCGAAGGAAAGTGCAGAAATCCTAGAAAAAAGTTGATCAATTCCGTCTCCAGTCTTGGCAGAAACAGCCCAGTACTCTGCCTTTATTCCCTCAGCCACAGCCATTGCTCGTCTCTCGATTATCTCGTACAACTGATTGGACTGTAATTAATAAATTAATGATTAATTCACTGGTTACTCAAATTTTTAAAAAGAAATTACCAGTAAATCCTTCTTGGTTCCCACCAGGAAGACGTGACAGGGTCCATTATTGCTCTTCATGGCCTCCTCCAGCCACTGCTTGGAGTGGGAGAGAGTGAACAAACTCCCCAGATCGAAGACAATCATTATCACTAGTAATTAAAAATAAAGATTTCATTGGTTCGATAAAAAAAGATAAAACTCAAGTCGATGATCAGCTGTATTAATTTCGGTATCTTTTGTTAGTTAATTTTCTTTTTTAGGCTCACCATTTGCTCCTCTGTAATAAGAAGCTGCGATACACTTAAATCGCTCTTGACCCGCTGTATCCCATCTGCAGAATCAAATTAATAATCGTAATAATTGATTAACAAAATGATAAACCGAGATGATTTTACTTCTAATTATTTCGGAAAGTATTGACTTTCACAGAAAATATCAAGAGACCTTTTTCGTAGGAAATTTAATCAGCTGTAAAAAGTTCCTCTACAGCTTCTTCCGAAAATTGATAATTTCCAAGATAAAGCGATAATAAAATAAATTACGATTAATTTCACAGACTACTATGTGGTGTCTATATTATTATTAACGATTGATAATTTATTACATTTGGAGATTGAAGGGCACCCCCAGGACGTCGAAGCGCTCGACTTCGAAGTCAACTCCTATCGTTGCCTTGTAATTGTTATCGAATTTCTTGTGGCAGAAACTGTAAAAAAAAATTGATGACTAGGTTATTATTCGATGCAATTAAAGATAATTAATTAGGTTAATTTGGGAATTCATGGAGGTGTGATTGGGGAATTTACCGATTTACCAGGGATGTTTTTCCCACAGCAACGTCACCCAAGACGATGACTTTTGCGATTCTAGGAGCTGTCGATGCTGATGCACATGCCTGACGCACTAAATTATTAAATTCCCGTTCCTTGTAGGGGGTCATCGACCCCGAAAATGGAGGAGGCCAATTAGTAATCTGAAATTAATAAACAAATTTTTATCGGAATTAAATGAGCTAGAAGAAAGTTGTCCGGTGATTTCTCCTTAAATGAAATAGTTTACGAGATAAAATATTTAAGGATTAAGCAATTATTTTTGGGTTTATAATTAATTACTCACCCTTCTCTCCTCGTTAGCCACTGGTCTCAGCATTTTATAAACAGCAGATCGTGTTTCCAGCATTATTTTACTCAGAACGAGTGCATTATCAAAAAAATCCTGGCCCTCAATTTTTAATAGCTCTCAGACTAAAAAAGCAAAATTAAAAAATGAATAAACAAATTATTCTCTGATTTGCTGGGATTTTAACAATTAAATTGTGATCAATAAACAAAAAATTTTTCTATAATTCAAAAGAAAAGTATTATAAATCTTTAAAAATCTCAGTTATTTCGACAGTGGTCTCTCACCTGAACAATTAAACAGAATAATTAAATTTTCGTCGACAGCAAAAATTGGAACTGTCAAAATTTGCAGATTGTTTATAGAAGTTGATAACAGGATTTTCAGGATTAAATGGGGCTGCACTCAGAGGTTTTGTTGTCAAAGAACTAAACATCGGTTGCTGTGGCAGGTGTTGAATTTTTTCCCGGGGTGGTCAATCCCCTTTGGTGGGGATCGTTATTTTGACCTGCAGTCGATAAAAAATAATCGAATTTTGGTGTTGACTCGAGTAGTCGTGACTTGTCAGTTGATTTCCGGCGCTCGTTCCAGTCCTTTTCAGCAAAATGGCTCCCAAACCGAAGCCCACGAAGGAGACAGGTAATTATTTTCATTATTTACCCACAATTACCCATAGTATCACTAAAAAAATTGTCGCAATCAGGTAATTATCGGTTTTTCGTCGTTCACTTGTCATTTTTTAAGGATTAATTGTTTTTTGTTTGAGTTGATGTGAAGTTCCTGGGACGGGGGCACCATGTGCTCGTGTCAATGATTTCTCATCACCTGGGGGTGATTTTTTCCCCATTAATGAATTCATTAATGACCGTAAAAGTCTTTGATATCACACAAATCATTTTTGAACAATTTCTCTGTGATTTTTCTGATGTAAACGACTGACCAAAATATTGAAAAACAATTGCTCAATTTTGAGGTTATTGTCACAATTTTTTTATTGATAATCGAAGAGTAAATAATTTTCTATTGAATTATTTACAATAGTAGTTAATTTATAAGCCAACTTTCTGTCATAAAAAATAGAATGCCTTTTAAATGAATTGATTTGTTAAATTATTCCGGAGAATAATTGAGATATTACAGATGGAATAATTAAGATTGTTGAAATTTAAGGTGGCAAGCCAGCAGAGAAGAAAACCGAGAAAAAAGCTGAGAAAAAGCCAGCGACAGTTGCATCTACCTCGAAGGTGACAAAACCAGCGGCTAAACAACCAGCGAAGGATGCTGCCAAGGCTGCCAAACCCGCTGCCAAGGCAGCAGCCAAGGGTCAAAAGGGTGCAGCTAAAACAGCTGCAAAACCAGCGACCAAAGCAGCACCTAAACCAGTGACTGCCAAGCCCAAGGTGAAGGCTGTTGCTCCAGGCAAGAAGACACCCAAGGGTGGAAAGGCTGCACCACTTCAGAAGGCCCTCAAAGCCCAGAAGAAGGTAAACAATCATCCAGAAGTTAACAGACAATCAAATTTATCCTCGTTAAACTGTTTTACAGATCCTGAAGGGTATCCATGGCTCACGTGTGAGGAAAATTAGGACTTCGGTTCATTTCCACCGACCAAAGACCTTCAGACCCCCGAGGAATCCAAAATACCAGCGAAAATCTGTTCCCAACAGAAACAGGTAAAAAAATACGTTTTAGAATATGAATTTTGGAAAATGTATTATAATTTTTTTTTATTTGCAGAATGGATGCCTATAATATCATTAAATTCCCCCTGACAACTGAAGCAGCCATGAAGAAGATCGAGGACAACAACACTCTCGTTTTTATCGTGCATACTCGTGCCAACAAGTATCACATCAAGGCTTCAGTTAAAAAGCTGTACGACATCGATGTAGCCAAGGTCAATACCCTCATTAGGCCCGATGGCAAGAAGAAGGCGTACGTACGTCTGACTCGTGACTACGATGCACTCGATGTCGCCAACAAGATTGGTATAATATAAGAATTTTTATTATTCCATTCTACTTGTATAAAAATATTAAATATCTGTGCTGATTAATAAAACAAAAATATCTGTGCAGAAAATTATTGTTTTTTTACTGATTATAAAAGTATTCTTCGTCTTTTTAGTGAACTAGTAAGTTAGCAATTAATTTTTGACACAACACGAAATTAAATTTCTTTTAAAAAAATTTTTTTATCGATTTTTTAAACATTTTATTGAATCCTCTAAAAAACTTTCTCAGTCTAAATGAAGAAGACCTCAACTAAATTGTCAATTTCCAAATTTTCATTAAAGAAAGAATCCTTCTAAGAAATAAAAACTCCATTTTCGAAATTTCCCGCCTAGAGTTTCATGAATCTAACCTAAAACTCATTAAATCAGACGTTTAAATCCTAACCTTTCCCTGCAAACGTAAACAATCGAAAACAGCAGAACGAAGAAACATCGACACTTGCTCAACGGACAACTTTATTTCCTTCCAATTCCAAGAGGACCTCCAGAAAAATCTCCGCAGGATCCGATGCAGTGACACTATAATCCAGTGAGTAAAAAATTCGATTTGATTCCACAAATATCATCATAAAGATCATCGAGGATGACAGACCCCTCGGACCTGTACCGCCTGGAGGGAAGTGACGGTTCTCAACGTGGAGGTCTGATCCTCCAGAAGAAGCCGTCAGACCATACCTTCAAGAAGCCCTTACCCTCGGTTTTCGGTCTCGACAAACTGGCTGAGAAAAAGCGCCGAGAGAGTTCTCAGGAGCCATCGACATCCTCTAAGATTCGTCCAAGGGCATACCGTCACCCCACGGATGAGACGCCGACGCACACCGGAGGGGTGAACAGAAGAGCCCAACGTCGCCTGGAGGACAGACTGCGACATCAACGCCTGGACGCCCAAGAGCGACGTCGCCGTGATAAGAGCAGAAGATCAGATAGATCGGATAGATCAGATAGATCAGAAAGATCAGATAGATCAGATAGATCGGATAGATCAGATCGTCCGAGATTTAAGGACGAGCCGAGGACGCCCCAATTCCGCATGAGAGATCCCACGTCGAAGAGCAATTGGGACGACGACGACGACGAAGAACCCCGGAAATCCAGCTGGGACCATCCGACTCCGAAGATCTACCAGAAGGACCACAGGGATTCCATCAGGAGTGAATTCACTCCCTCCTACAAGTACAACCCCTGGCAGAGGGACAGAAAGGCCTCGGGGGCGACTCCCCAGGTGGACGGAGAGGACAAAGAGATGTGGGAAGAGGAGCAGCAGAGACTTGACAGGGAATGGTACGGGCTCGATGATGGAGAGGGTCATCACTTCAATGTCTCCGAGGAATATACCCAGAAAAAGGAGCAGGAGCTCGAGGCGAAGAGGCAGAAACGAGTGTCGGCGCAGCAAAGGCAGATCAATAAGGATAATGAACTCTGGGAGAGGAACAGAATGTTGACATCTGGAGTTGTCAGCTCACTCGATCATGACAATGATCCTGATGACGAGGGTGAGGCGAGGGTTCATCTCCTTGTTCACAATGTTGTTCCACCCTTTTTGGATGGCAGAATTGTTTTTACCAAGCAGCCAGAACCTGTTGTTCCTGTGAGGGATCCAACATCGGACATGGCTCTAGTCGCCAGGAAGGGATCTGCCCTGGTGAGAGCTTACAGAGAGCAGAAGGAGAGGAAGAGGGCGCAGAAAAAGCACTGGGACTTGTCTGGTACTCACATGGGAAATATAATGGGAGTGAAAGACAAGAGGAAAGAGGACAAGGAGATGCCTGGTGAAGAGGCTGATTTCAAGGCTGGACAGAAATATGCCAGACACATTGAAGGGAATGAGAACTCTGAGGACAGGCATAGGCAGATTCTCATGCAGAGGAGGAGTCTTCCAGTTTTTGCTGTCAGGCAGGAGCTCATGACGATAATCAGGGAGAATTCTGTTGTTGTTATTGTAGGGGAGACTGGAAGTGGAAAGACAACGCAGTTGACACAGTATCTCCATGAGGATGGTTACAGCAGGAATGGAATGGTTGGATGTACACAGCCTCGCAGAGTTGCAGCTGTGTCGGTGGCTAAAAGAGTATCCGATGAAATGGCATCTGCCCTCGGGGATAAAGTCGGTTATGCCATTCGTTTTGAGGACTGCACCTCCAAGGAAACCGTCATCAAGTACATGACTGATGGAATTCTCCTGAGGGAGAGCCTCAGGGAGGGCGACCTCGACAGATACAGCGTAATAATAATGGACGAGGCCCACGAGAGATCTCTTTCGACAGACGTTTTATTCGGGTTGCTCCGGGAAGTTGTGGCTCGTCGTCATGATCTCAAGCTCATTGTCACATCAGCCACGATGGACTCGAGTAAATTCAGTGCCTTCTTCGGGAATGCTGCAACATTTCAGATACCAGGGCGAACATTCCCTGTAGACACGATTCACGCGAAAAATCCTGTGGAGGATTACGTGGACGCTGCAATCAAACAAGTGCTGCAGATTCACTTGCAGCCAAAGTCCGGGGATATCCTGGTGTTTATGCCGGGTCAGGAGGACATCGAGGTGACATGTGAGGCACTTAAAGAGAGATTAGGGGAGATCGATTCAGCCCCTGAGTTACTCATTCTCCCCATATATTCTCAATTGCCCTCTGATCTCCAGGCGAAGATCTTCCAGAAGTCAGAGGGGGGACTGAGAAAGTGTGTTGTCGCTACCAATATCGCTGAGACCTCTCTGACCGTCGATGGAATCGTCTTCGTCGTCGATTCTGGTTACTGCAAGCTCAAGGTGTACAATCCGAGAATAGGAATGGATGCATTGCAGGTGTACCCAGTTTCTCGTGCAAACGCAGATCAGAGGAGTGGAAGAGCTGGTAGAACAGGTCCTGGTGTGTGTTACAGGCTGTACACTAGAAGACAATACCTGGACGAATTGCTCCTGACAGGAGTACCCGAGATTCAACGTACAAATCTGGCAAATACAGTTCTCCTCCTGAAATCGCTGGGTGTCCAGGACCTACTGGCGTTCCACTTTATGGATCCTCCACCTCAGGACAACATCCTGAACTCGCTGTACCAGCTGTGGATCTTGGGAGCTCTGGACAACACAGGACGCCTGACACCCCTGGGCAGACAGATGGCAGAATTTCCCCTCGATCCACCCCAGTGTCAGATGCTGATTGTGGCATCCCAGTTGGGATGCACCTCTGAAATCCTCATAATAGTCTCAATGCTCTCTGTTCCCTCGATATTCTACAGGCCAAAGGGCAGAGAGGAGGACTCAGACTCAGCCAGGGAAAAATTTCAAGTACCAGAGTCCGATCACCTGACCTTCCTCCACGTCTACCAGCAGTGGAAGATCAATGGCTACTCGAGTTCCTGGTGCAATGATCACTTCATTCATGCCAAGGCTATGAGAAAAGTCAGGGAGGTCAGGCAACAGCTGGAAGAGATACTGAAGCAGCAGAAACTCGAGTTGACGAGTTGTGGAAATGACTGGGATGTTGTCAGGAAGTGCATATGCTCTGCCTATTTCCATCAGGCTGCCAGGCTCAAGGGCATTGGTGAATATGTCAATTGCAGAACTGGAATGCCTTGCTATCTTCATCCAACGTCTGCTTTATTTGGTATGGGATTCACACCGGATTATGTCGTTTATCATGAGCTTGTTATGACTGCCAAGGAGTACATGCAGTGTGTCACTGCTGTTGATGGACACTGGCTCGCCGAGTTGGGGCCAATGTTCTTCAGTGTCAAGGAGACTGGCAGTGGACAAGCCAAGAGGAGACAGGCTGTTCAGCATCTGCAGGAGATGGAGGGGCAGATGAAGGCTGCTGAGGAGGAGATGAAGGCCAGGGCTAAGGAACAGCTGGAGAAGGAGCAGGCATCTGTCAGGAAGTATGAGATTGGGATTTATTTAAAGGGGAAAGATTGGAGAGAATTTTTGGGTAGAAATTAAATGTTAATCTCATTGCTTTCAGAAAGGAAATATTGACACCTGGAATCAGGGAGCCAGGGACTCCAGCTCCTTACAGAAAAACTCCAGCTCGATTAGGACTGTAGATAGATAATTTGTTAAAGTTGTGGATATTTTCGTAATAAAACACACGTCTCATATTTTAGTGTGAACCAAAACTAGAGAATTCTCCCATTTCCCATAAGACGTAACTCCCAAAATAAAAAAGATAAGGTGTGAAAAATTGTCAAGAAAAATCCGCGGAAAATTCAAAATTTCCTTGGACATCTGACGTGAGTTCTTGGAACTCGTCCGCTCGCTTGATAATTCCGAGTCTTTTTTTGTCATCCTTTTTTTTCGAATTGTCGTGCCTCAGGCGAATAAGGAAAACAATGGATAAATGGATTTTCGATGGGAGACGAGTGCTTGTGGTTATGTAATTCATCTGAAAGCTGTGGGAGATGTTTAATTACTGACAACATTGATATATTGACTCTGGGATGAACGAGTCAGACATTGAGGTACCACTTGCTGTAACTATAGTAACTCGTGTGACTTTATCAGCTGATAAGAAGACAATAGGATAGTAGGAGCTCCGGAGGCGGAGATTTTGAGTGGTTTCTAAGAATAGTGTTCAGATTGTTCTCTCAGATCCCTAGAATCACTGGGAAATTGTCAATTATTCTCACTAAAACAAATCCTCCTGTTCAGCTGCAATTACTGTAAATTAATTGAAGCGAACGAAAAATTTTCATTATTTGAGTAGAATAATTGAATCAAGTGAGAAAGTGCGATACGTGTAACATCACTTTTCCTAATTACCAATTTATGTTGAGAACTATCGATTTGTGGGGAATGCTCTAGGGAACTTTTTTGTAGATAATTTAGTTTCCAATGGAAATGATTTTTTGAAGTTTTTCGGTGGAATCGATGGTTTTTGAAATAATTCGATCGCTAGCAGAGGCTAATCACTCGAGCTTATCACTTTATGCGATTTTTTTAAATTTCGCTATCGCAATTGGTGTTTTATTTCGAGAACTGTCGATTTGCGGTGGAAAAATTGGGGGACTTTTCTGTTGCTTATGAAATTTTCAACGAGAAAGGTTCCCCGGTGTTTTCCGGGAAATCGATAGTTTTCGGGGTAATCAGATCAATAAGGAAGCGGTGAATTGAGAAGAGTAAAATTTACGTCATACGTGATTTCATAATTCTTGATTTATCTCGAAAACAATCAATTTGAGATCGAAACAGTAAGGGACCTTTTTTCTAGCTGATTCAATTCCCGACAAAAAAGCTCTTCTGATATATCCCCCAACAGTCGATAGTTCTTCAGATTAATCGATATATATCAAAAATCATACGAAAATCGTCTTTACTCTAATTAATTAATTGATACCGCATTTTCTTAATCAGCTGACATTGACATTTCGGATTTCGAGGGCTTTTTGATTAGTTCGATGGAAAATACAATGCGAAATTGAGAGCAACGAATTGATAGAATAATAGCATCATTACGCAGCAGTTTAACGAGAGCTCGTGTTGAGTGACTGGTGTTCTCGGATAAGTTTTTGTTCCCTATCGAAAAATGTCGCAGGAACTCACTTTGGGGATCGACCTGGGGACAACGTCTGTAAAAGTTGTCGTTTACTCCAGGGCAAAAGGAGAAATAGTGGCAAAACAGTCGAAAGATACGCAGGCCAATGTCCCCAGCGATTTGGGAATCGATGGAAATAAACAGGATGTACCGAAAATTCTCTCCGCTGTCCACAGCTGCATCTCCAGACTCCCCAAGGACCTTTTGCGACAGGTAAAAACAAATGAAACATTAATTTTTCACTTTTATCCGTTCAATTATCTTTATTGATTAATTTGATTATTCATTATTTCTATTATTCATAGGATAATTATTTATTGACAATTAGTTATCATTGAAAATCATTTCTCCAGGTGACAACAATCGGTGTCTGTGGACAAATGCACGGTGTAGCTCTGTGGAAGGGGCAGAGACCTAGTGCTGACGAGAAGGCCTTCAAGTTGGAGATCCCGAAAACGGAGGTGTCGCATTTATACACCTGGCAGGACAGCCGGTGCGATGCTGAATTCCTGAATTCTTTACCGCCATCGAGAAGTCATCTGCCTGTTCACTCGGGCTACGGATGTGCCACCATTTTCTGGTTTGCCAGGAACAAGTAAAACGTTCCGAATTAATTTTACAAAATCCTCGACCTCGAAACCTTGAATCCAATTTTTGTTTTACTAAATATCGATATATCTGAAATCCTGTTGATTTTAGAAGAAAATATGAAAAGACATTTTTCACGGAAAATTTCATCAGCTAGAAAAACTTTCTTTACAATTTTCACCTCAAATCAGTGGTCTTCGAGATAAATCCTTTCTTTCCCCATCTCATTTCATGGAGGAAATAAATTCCTGTGAATTCCGTAGACCCGAGAAGCTGTCCAAATACAATCGATGCGGAACGGTTCAGGACCTGATGGTGAACCTTCTGTGTGGTTCAGAGGACGTGGCAATGAGTTCTCAGAACGCAGCGAGTTTCGGTTACTTCCTGACAGAGGAAGGAAAATTCGAGATGGAGACGATGTCAACCTCGAATTTTCCCATTGATCTCCTCCCAAAGAGAATTCTTCGCCCTGGAGAGATAGCAGGTCACCTGATGCATACCTGGTTTGGAATTCCTGAGGGGGTGCCCGTAGGGGTGGCCCTGGGGGATCTCCAGTGCTCGGTTTTTGCCCTGTTGAAGGGCCCAGACGAGGCTGTCATGAATATCTCGACATCCGCACAACTGACGTACGTCCAACCGACGTTCAAACCTGGGGACGCCGAGGACTCAGCCACCGTCGAATATTTTCCGTACTTCAAGGATGAGTACTTGGCTGTTTCTGCGTCATTAAACGGGGGAAATTCTCTCGCCAGTTTCGTCAAGATGATCCAGCAGTGGACGATGGAGCTCGGATTTTCTGTTCCTCAGGGTGCGAAGTTAATACTTAAATTAAATTGAATTAAAAGAGAAATTAATTGGGAAGTAATTTTCCATAATTGTTTATTTGTTTTTTTTTGTAGCTAAAGTCTGGGAGAAACTAATTTCCCTCGGGCAGGAGGACTCGGCTATCAGTTCTATGAGGATTGAACCTCTTCTTCTGGGGGAACGACACGATCCCCTTAAAACAGCTAGTGTCACTGACATCAGTCTCGATACTCTTCATCTAGGGACTGTCTTCAGGGCCCTGTGCTCTGGGGTCATCCAGAATTTGCATGGGTATCAGTCAATTATTCATTTTTTTAATCTAGTCCTCGAACTGACCTTCAGTTAATCTTCAGAGAGATTAATATTAATTATTATATATCAACTTGCCGAGTGATAACCCCTGCGCCGATGGAAATTTTTCTGTTGTGAATTCTTCTTTTTCTTCTTGTATTTTGCTGTATAAACTTGTAAAGTTTCGAGCGATATAATGTATTAGAAAAAATATTTGAAATGTTAATAATAAATGGTGAATGATTTTTTGGGTGTGCAGCATGATGTCGCAGGAACTCCTGAAGAAAAAGGGGATAAAGAAAATCGTGGGAAATGGCTCGGGTCTCGTGAGGAATCCAGTCCTTCAAAAAGAGGTCCAGCACTGGTATAAACTTCCTCTGGAGCTGGGGCACTCCGGAGACGCTGCACTGGGGGCAGCTCTAGCAGGAGTTGCCCATCAATGATTTCGTCCTGATGATTAATCTTCCAGAACCGACCAATTCGCCATTTAATATTCCCTTACAGACTTTCCAATTGTTTAGTACTTTATTATTAGTCCATTAAGAACCGGGGAACCAATAAATTATTGTATTTACAAATAAAATTAAAAATCCATTAATTTTTCATTTTATCCATCCAAAATATTTTTTCCACGTGCCAAAAACGTATGTTTAAATAACTCCACAACTCCTTTAAGAATTTTATTGGGATTTCCCTGGAGTAAATATAAAAAGTTGCAAAAGTTGTGATCGATGAAAATTTGAATTTTCCCGGCAGGCGACCGCGCGCCGCTACCCGCGCCAATTCAAAAGGCCCCCATTGACAGGAGAAAAACAGCTGTCGTGTGTCTTTTTCCTTTTTTAAAGAATGGTATGGAGTGCGTACGTGCGATCCCCCACTAGAATTCCACATGCACTTCTGAAAATCCTGAGGCCTTGCGCGATGCCAGTCGGTTCTCACCCGCGGTCGCGAGAGGTACGTCTTCCCCTCGAGTGCAAAGATAAAAAAAAGGCATTAAAACGAAAAAACGCCACAGGCTGTTTGCGCCACGTCGATGAGAATCCAATTGAAGAAAACAACAATTTAAATTTGAATCAGTGAACCGGCAACACCCGGTGCTAATACGCGGTGGAAAAACCTAAAAAAGCGACTGCGCGTTCGACTATTCGATATATCTATATCAATATATCGAGGTGGTAGGGGGAGGCTTGTCCACTTGATCGTCACATGATACCGAGGCTTTTGCATTAATAATAGTGCGCAACTGCCCTCGAGGTCTAAAGGTATTTTTTCCGAAATTATTTCTTCCCTTTTTTCATTTTTATTGTGCCCCATCAATTTTTTCGGGACTTCTTTTAATTGTTCATGTGCTAATGTATCTCTTGGGATTTTTGGGTTATTAATTTGTTTGGGATTTTTTAGTTCAGTTTTTGGGTTTTGAGCGCAAGACGCGCGGTGAATTTGTTTTTGTAGTTAATTATTCAGATTGATTGTTGTTGGTGTGGGAAAGGGGTGGGGGAGTTTTTTGGAGATGATTAATTTTTGGGGATGAAGGACTTGTTATTTTGTGATGAAAAAACTTCTGTTCGAATTCTGAGGAGGATTATTGTTCAATCGTTAAGAAATATTTGAGAAATTTATGAATTTTCACATTTCTCAGGAGATTATTATCATTCTGCTATCTCGGGTGATAGCAAATAGGAACTGATAACTCACCGCTGAAGAAACTAATTCGAGCTATTTATTATCCTCTACAGAGGATAATTACCAATAATCACAAATTATAATTATTTACATATTACTAATCCCCCAATTCGCTACAAATTCCCTAAAAATCGTTTTCTTTATCGAAATCTATCAATTTATCGCCAAAACTCGAAATAGCTTTTTTACAGCTGATTAAATTTCCCACAAAAAATCTTTTTTGACATTTTCTCCTAAAACGAATAGTTTTCTAGATTCCCAAGGATGAATGTTCAGAAAAATCGTCGAGTAATTACTGGAATTGTGAGTTTTATTTTCATCGTGGAGTTTTTGTTGCATGAGGATTGCACAATATTAAATTGACAATTTTGTGAGTGCCTCGTCTGATTCTTTTCATTTTTTATAAAACGGATAGAATACCGTTCCTCTTGACTCATGCATAATGGATTCAGGATCAGAGTTCAAGGCAGGTATAACGCCAGACGATTATCGTGGCCCAGTGGCACCTCCTACTATTTTCAAACCGATTTTTCCGGGTTTTTCAGTTGTTTCGCGGTGGATAAAGGGAGTGTCCATTGACCTGAGTTTTCCGTATGCATTCTAGGAATGTCTTGTATAGTCTTGAGGCGACTGACTCCTCGGAGCATGACGTCGGTCTCTCCCAATCGGCTTTCAAAGCAAAACCCAACATCTTCCAGACATCCGTGGAGGGCTGGGGCTTCAGGACGTCTCTCGTATTTTCGTTCATGATTATCTGCACCAGTTGATTCTGTGAGGAATCAACTTGACGTGAGATTTTTATAAACAAGTGCAACTTTGAGACTAACTGATTTTTCCCTTAATCATCGCTTTATCTCGAATTGTATCGGTTTCACGGGGATATGTTAGAGAAATTTTTTATAGGTAATTTAATTTTGAAGATAAAAGATGTTTTGATATTCTATCGTTCGATCAATTGCTTTTGAGATAATGCGATCGGTAGTGAAATTATAGAGTGGGAGTCGAATTTTCAGGTTTTGTTGATTACCGGATTTTTGGTTTTCCGCAATTACCTCGGAAACTATAGACTTGGGAGTCAAACGGTAAAGGAATTTTTTGTAACTAATTCAATTTTCAATAAAAAAAGTCTTATGATGTATCCTCCTGCACTCAATAGTTTCTGAGATAATTGAATCAGCGAACTGGAAAAACAATCTTCATTTTCAATTTCATTCAAGTATCATTGATGGATATCTATTCTCGTCAATTTTCTCACTTGAATAAACAAATTAATTGTCGGAAATGATTTATGGAGCTGTCAACCATCAATCCTGTTTTTCGGTAGATTTATCTTTATTGAAGATTAGGTAACTGCAGATGACAGCGTGCACTGCCACGATGACAAGAATACCGGTTTGGTTGAGATTTTCCCAGTCGAAGGGCTCCATTACCAAAAAAAATAATAACAAATTTAAATAAATACGTCAAACCTCCCGGAAAATTAGCGAATCTTAAAAACAAGTGCACAATTACGTCGACTGTCAATTTATAAAAATTCTCCGATCGATTAAACTTCTGAAAATTGACGAATCAAAAATTTATTGAAATCGATAAATAATTAATGATTGAACAGGTGATTGCCGTTTTAATTTACAATTTCTCAAGTTAAAAATTATTAATTTCGGATTGACATCTAGTTGCGACTCGACGAAAAAAAAGTGTTTTGTTACATTTGCAATAAGATGGAATTGCAAGACTCGCGTATTAAAAAAATCATGGATACATCTTCCTCTCTCATGTTCGCTTATCAAGGTTACGAGGTCATGGTTTAATGACCTTCGACGGGATAAGAGACTCCAATTTTTTCGGGGGTGAGAAAATTCGCAAAATTGTGGAAAATATTCTCTCATTAATTTTCATCGCTCAATTTATGGAAGTCGAAGGCGTCACGTTCGCAGTGGAGTATTCAAATTATTTCGGTGTACGTGATCAAAAGGTAATGGCAAAAAGGGGGAGAAGAATAATAATAAAAAAAGGGAGTAGCAATTCCGTCAAAAACAGATCACTATAACGTCATTCAAATCTCGATTTATGTAGGCAATGGTTTATCTTAGCAGGAAATGTTAAAAAACATTTTCTCTCGGAAATTCAAGCAGCTACAAAAAAGTCCCCTATCATTATCACCTCAGAGCGGTACCTTTCGAGAGAATTAAAAATTAGATAATTATGAAAAATTAAAAATTCAAGTCCTCTTACGTTACCACTCCCTTACTGATTCAATTATTTCAAAACCCTTTAATTTTAACAAAAAAAACGAAAAGACCTTTTATATCAGAAATTAAGTAAACCGAGAAAAAGTCCCCAGAAGTTTTCACGTTGGATCGATGATTTTCGAGATAAATCGGTATAACTGGTGAATTTAGTTTATTTCTCAATTGACATGAAATTCTGCACGTTCTCGATTTTAAAGTGGGAATTGTCGGGAATAAATAATGACGGAGTTGCAGATAAATCCGGTGTAGTGTACCAATGGCTGATAATTTGAATTCAAGTGGTTGTGTCCTTGATGTGCAATCTCACACGTGTAGAGTACATTGTATACTCGTGCACGGATGACACTTTTTCATTCACTCCAGCCTTCCATCTTGACAGCCTGCATTGATATCGATATAATTCTAGATCACTTTTTGTTGCAATTTAATCGGGCGATGAGAAATTATTTGCATGACTGCAATTTTTTTTTTCTAATAATTACTCAGAGCAAAAAAGACAACTTAAAATTCAGGATAATTCATTTGGAATAATGTGTTCCGGCGGAATCTTCAATAACTCGAGACCCTCTGAGTCAAAATACTTAAAGCTTATCTTCATCTCTAGGAAACTTACCTAGCTTTGAAACGACCTATTACTGATCTACAGTGGATTAATAGATCAAGAGATATCCTTCATTAAAAAAAGATCATTACAAACTATAAAATCCAGTCGTTAAATTCAATTATCCCTCTCATCATTTTGGCTGAGTGAAATTAAATGACTTAAGTCTTCAATTCCAGGGTGTTTTCTGGGGTTTAAAATGAATTTAGAATCATTCGAATCGCTCTGTTGGATTCAGTGATATCGAAGAATCGAGCAATTCGATTCCAAACCATCGATTTCAAAAAACAGCAGATGATGATTCCTTTTTGGAAATTAATAACTCAGGATTGGCTGAGTCAAATTGAATCATTTTTCTATTACGTCAATCCTATTTTTACGAAATTTCAGATTATCGAAGATATTAATGCATTTGTATATTTTTTTTCGAGATAGGTAGGCAATTATTCACAAATCGGTAAAATCATGATTGCGCGTCATTCTGTCGTGCGAGTATCGGGTAGGATTTCATGAGTTGATGACTCAACTATTTTCGTCGACAGTTTACGTGAGATTCGAGTGACGTTGATAATTCATAGAGTGGATGAATAAGTGGGGGATAGATTTTTCAGTTACGAAGGAATTCTAGGATCGAATCGTCAGTTGTGTACGTCTCCTCGTGGAGTTTGTGGACTAATTAAACAGTATTGGCAAAATAAAAATTTCCAAACAAATCGTGTTGAACAATTTCGATCAAATCATAACAGTTTATCGGGACGAAAATTTAACAGTCAATATGGATTTACCGGTAAGTTAATTACGATTTGGTCGGCGAATTCATCGGAGAAAAGGAAAATTAAATGACGACTGCAAATCGTCAGTTCGCGAGTGAAAGTTCGTGCGGAATTTTTTCCTTTCTCGATTCACTCTCACTCATATCTATTACGTAATCCGAAAACTGTCATTGGTAATCAGTAATCTGACCCAATTGTGGGGTAGAAACTGACCTCAATAGAAAATTGTGGGTTAAATTTTGGAACAAAAGTGAATTTCAAAAATGCGATACACGACGAGTGATAATAATTAAAATAAAATGAAAATTGTTCCCCAATTGTTTATTAATTTTGGATATTTATTCTCCTCGGATTTAATTAAGTTTCAGTTTATTTTTCATAATAAAATGAAAGAAATAGAATTTAATTAATAACTACCGATTTTTTAATTTTCGGAATTTTCAGATTTTTTTTCAGATTCCACTACGATTGCGTAATAATTATTAACAATTTCGACCAAAACATGAATCACTCGTGCATTGTCGGAAAATTTCATACGAAGAGACAAGTCACGATGACAACAAATTAGTGTATTCCAGACAGCTCCAAAGTCCGCGAGAGCCTTATCATTAATAATTAAGGCTCCCCATAGTGAATATATATAAAAACAGAGAGATATTTTCAACGTCAAAAAATTCTTCAATGCAAGATTCATTCCATTTATTTCTCCAGCTTTAAATTAATTTCCCGAGATTTTCATTCACATCCATTAACTTAATTTCCCTCCTAATTACTGATCCGCATGGCCATATATAACGTCACATTCTCATTGTATTCATGAGTTACCAATTTGCAAGTCAGTTGGCGATTCGGAATTTTCGCATTTCAGGTCTTGCAACTGTCATGTCGACAGCTGTCATTACTATTTGATTGTACGTGGAAGATTATTCAAATGAGAGGTGTCCCTAACGAGGGTTTTCCGAAATAATGAGATAAGGAATTATGGGTAAATTGTCGGACTGATATTGCCATCGAGAATGTAATTACGAAATAATCACGGGTGACACAACGGTCGTAACTCGTTGGCCGTAAACTTGACAGGACTTGGGGATTGTCAAGTTGTTGGCAGATTTCAATAACTATTTGTTAGATTTCGATAACTATTAGTCAGATTTCAAATTATTTCCGCAGATTTTATCAATTTTTTATCAACATCATAAATTAATGAAATTATTATCAAACTTTTCTCACTATGGAATAGATTTCAGTAACTATTCGTTAGATTTCCTCAACTATCAGTCAGATTTCAAATAATTTCGGAAGATTTTATCAATTTTTTATCGACATCATAAATTAATGAAATCATTATCAAACTTTTCTCACTGTGGAATAGATTTCAGTAACTATTCGTTAGATTTCAACAACTATTAGTCAAATTTCAAATAATTTTGGGAGATTTTAACAATTTTTTATCGACATCATAAATTAATGAAATTGTTATGAAACTTTTCTCACTGTGCGATAGATTTCAGTAACTATTCGTTAGATTTCGACAACTATTAGTCGGATTTCAAAAAATTTCGGGAGATTTTATCAAATTTTTGTCCAAATCAGAAAGTAATCAAATCGTTATCAAATTTGTATTACTATGTGATAGATTTTACTAACTATTACATAGATGTCAACGAAATTTCAAAACAAACCTATCTGACACCAATTAATTTTCTCTTTGACGTACATTATCAGAATTAATTTTAAAATTAATCCCCGGGGCTCGAAATTGACCCCAATGGCGTCACTAATACATACAAGACTGATCATGACGTTCATGCGAAAACAAAAACAAACATCAATGACATCTTTATGAGACCAATGACTCAGTGAGACAGAATAACAAAATTAATTTCTTATCATGTAATTCTGAATACTGATATGGATATAATTTTATAATAACAGATAATGATTCGATGCGATTACGATAGTGATTACTGAACAATAAACAAATTAAAAAATGGAAGTAACTATGGAAAACATTGGAACTGTAATTGTACGTAAAAAATGAGGGGAAAATGAATAATGATATGAATCGTTATTGAATAAATCCTGCGAATGATTTTGGAAATCATTGGGTCTGTCAAAATCATAGTTGCAGATGTGTTTTGAAGGATTTTTGAATTCTAGGCGCTAGGATTGACTAGTGCGCGTCTGGAATATCGACTTTTTTTAGTCACACCAGGTAGTTTTTTTAATCATTTTGTCGGGATACCGGTTCTCGCCCCTCCCAGCCTGTGATTCATTCCTGTGGGAAGGCACCTGCAGCTGAAGACGAGACCGAATCCTCTAACTCAGATTTTTACAAGTATATTTTTTAGTCATCGAAACTATTTTATAAATCATCGCAAACCCTTTCAATTTAATTCCACTGTTCCAGCTGAACCATTGATTGAAGAGGAAAATTGTATTGGACTTTTTTTCTGGAAATTTCGTTGTCTCCAAAAAAAGTCTTTTGGCATTTTCCTCTAGAACCCCTTCCTGTCGGGATAATGTCAATTTTCTCGATTACTGATTTTCTCGGTGAGACGTGGTTGAGTTGAAAAAACAAATCGAACGATAAAAAAAATGATGAAAATTGAAAATAAGTTGGAGGAAGTTGCTTTTTGCATTGCTAGTCTGTAATCACTTTCGTCCTTCCATTTTTTACACAATTAAATACGCGGAAGTGGACGAAGCGATCGTCTTGGCCTTCGTCTCGCGTCGAGAGTTGACGTAATATATTTTCCCGATGATAGTGAATATTTTTTATACCCACGTAAACCTGTTGCCGGTGGTATGGATCCAGCAATTGGTTGAGAGTGACTTGAGGATAAAAGATGAGAGATAAAAACTGGATCCCACAATTAAAACATTCAACTTATCCGTAGAAATTCGTCAGATTCCCGTTTGGGAATAGTTACTGTGCTAAATAATTTAATTTTCTCATCACCTGGATTTTTTTTTTGCAGACTGCAGACGCATCACTTCCAAAGGCCGTGAGAATGTCGAGTTCTCCAGTTCTGGGTGAGGAAAGGGCTGAGCTGGTGGATGAGCCCCTGTTCAGTACTCTGGACATCGTCCTCCTGGGGGCTCTTCTCCTGGCCGGGATATGGTACCTCATGAGGAGGAATAAACAGGAGGATTACACCCCCTCGACAAAATCGTATTCCATTCAGCCGACGACATTCAGCGTTCCCACACCCTCGGAAAATTCATTCATAAAAAAACTCAAGACCTCGGGACGCAGTCTCGTAGTTTTCTATGGAAGCCAGACAGGAACTGGTGAGGAATTCGCTGGAAGACTCGCCAAGGAAGGGGTCAGGTACCGCATGAAGGGCATGGTAGCTGATCCAGAAGAGTGTGACATGGTAATTATCACCTATCAATTATCAATTATTAATTAACAATTGGTTTTACATACTTTTGAACTATTTCTTTTTTTCAGGAAGATTTGGTGAATCTCAAGTCCATTCCCAATAGTCTCGCGGTTTTTTGTCTGGCGACTTATGGCGAGGGCGATCCCACGGATAATGCAATGGAGTTTGTGGATTGGTTGAAAAATGGAGATGCAGATCTCAATGGGCTAAGCTATGCGGTGAGTTTTTTTTTATAAATTTTCAACAGAAATTTATAATATTTTATTCGAATTCAACGGCCAACGCAAATTTACCCTTTCTTAGAATTATCGACTTATCTCGAAAATTATCGATTCGGCACGAAAATGTTGAAGGAATATAGGAATATTTCTGATAAAAGTTGTTCAATTGCTAATAAAAAATCGTCGAAAAAAAATTAAAAAATTGGAATTGATGCTTTTCAGAAAAATCATTTGTCAAAACTTTTTTTTAAGTAAGAATGCAATGGTTTTTAATTGCTGATTTCACCCCAGAGCAAGGAATAGCCCTTTTTCCTGTGGAACAATCTGGATTGAAAACGACGAATGAGTCGTCCATTGATAGAAAAAAAATCATGACGTCACAGTAGTTACATAACGCTCACGTCCGAGGCGCACGTGTCACTCCGGATAATCAGAACGTTTTCCCATCGTTTTTGATTCAATCGATAGTGTATCGATCGCAGGCGATCAGTAGTTCATTGATAATAATAAAAAAAACTTCCCAGTGTCTCTGCATTATTAGAAAGGATGAATGGATTGAAAAGTCTAGGGAAAATCGCGTGGAGTTTTCCGACCCTTGGGAGCGCTCGAATCGTGCGGAAATATTTCGCACTAAATTTGCCGACGAATGTTCGTTCGAAATTGTTAATTATTTTATCAGTTATAGTAATTATTATAGCAATAATTATGACAATTACTAGTGCCAATGCCGCAGATAAAAATGAAAATTGGACTTTGCCTTGGGAATTTTGATTAGGTCTTCAGAATAATGTCTCTTTCATGGTTCAATCCGCGTTATTATCAACTCGGGTCAAAGTCCGTGGTTTTTTTTGTTTATCATTATTTTTAATTGGTTTACCTCAAAATTGTCAAGTTTTTTTTTAGAATTCTTTTCTGCTACTGCCCGATTATCTCGACAATGCTCGGTGTCAGGGAAAAATGCCATGAAACTTTTTTGTAGGGATTTAAATTTTGGATGGAAATATTTTTTTCACTTTTTTTATTTTAATCACTCGTTGTCGAGATAATTGCGAATTAAGTTGATAAAGTGAGCAGAATTGATTTGCGGGAGGTAAATTCGGGGGTTTCTTCTTCGTTAAATATCTCCGTAACGAGTGACTTTACGTCAAAAAGTGATATAACATTTCTGTTTGGAATTTAAATTTTCTACAAGATCGTCCTCTAACATTTTTCTCTAAACCCAGTAAAAGACGACATAAATTGACTCCTGTGGGGCGGGGGAAGTCGATTGGTGCTTTCTGGCCTGTAGCTGGATTTGTTTATTAATTATTTTTTATTGTTGATTATTTTAGGTGTTTGGACTCGGTAATAAGACTTACGAGCATTACAATGAAGTCGCCATTTACGTGGATCATCGCCTGGAGCAATTGGGTGCAACTAGAGTCCACGAGCTGGGCCTAGGGGATGACGACGCAAAGTAATTTTTTTTTCTTTTCTTCCCCATCCCCTTAATTATGATTTTTCATTGACTTGGTTTTTCATGACAACAGCATCGAGGACGACTTCATCACGTGGAAGGACAAGTTCTGGCCAGCAGTCTGCGAATTTTTCGGTATCGAAGGAGCTGGAGAAGACGTCAGCATCCGGCAATACAAACTCACCGAACACCTGGAGATGCCTGCCGAGAGGATCTACACCGGAGAAATCGCAAGACTTCATTCCCTGAAGACTCAGAGGCCGTATGTAACAAATAACAATTAAAAAAAAACACTTAAAAACAAAAGTCTTGAAGATTCTTCGAATATCACCGGAAGGAGTGGTTTTACAAGGAAAAGTCACTTTACATTATTTCTAGAGAATTTAATTTCCAACGAAAAACGTCCTATAAATTTCCCTGTCCGCCGCATCCTTCCGGAGATACAGCCAAGATACTCAGCCAACCATTTTTCTACAAATCTGCTTGACTAATTGATTTTCCTTTCAGACCCTACGACGCGAAGAACCCGTACTTGGCCCCGGTGAAGGTAAATCGGGAGCTTCACGGGCCTTCATCAGAGCGTTCCTGCATGCACATAGAATTTGACATCGAGGGCTCTAAAATGCGTTATGATGCGGGTGACCACGTGGCAGTTTACCCAGTGAACAGCTCCGATCTTGTGGCAAAAATCGGGGAAAAATGCGGTGTCGACCTTGACACAGTGATAACCCTGACGAACACCGACGAGGAGTCGACGAAAAAACATCCATTCCCCTGCCCCTGCAGCTACAGAACAGCCCTGACCCACTACCTAGACATTACAGGTAATCCGAGGACTCACGTCCTGAAGGAGCTCGCAGAGTACTGCTCGGAGCCCGAGGACAAGGAGAGGCTCAAGCTCATGGCCTCGACGACTGCCGAGGGGAAGGCCCTATACTCCGATTGGATCGTCAACGACAACAGAAACATCGTTCACATCCTCGAGGACATAAAGAGCCTGAAACCCGCTCTCGATCATCTCTGCGAGCTCCTCCCAAGGCTCCAGTGCAGGTACTACTCGATCTCGTCGTCTTCGAAGATGTTCCCCACGTCGATTCACATCACAGCTGTCGTGGTGGAGTACAAAACTCCCACAGGAAGAGTCAACAAGGGTGTGACGACAACTTGGCTGAAGGAAAAACACCCGACAGATCCCCCCAGCACTGTACCAATTTTTGTGAGGAAGAGCCAGTTCAGACTCCCCTCCAGGCTCATCACACCCATCATCATGGTTGGTCCTGGCACTGGTATTGCACCATTCAGGGGTTTCATACAGGAGAGGGATCTGGCCAGAAAGGATGGAAAAGACGTGGGGGACACTATTCTCTATTTTGGATGCAGAAGGAGGGAAGAGGACTTTTTGTATCACCAGGAACTTGAGGAGTACGTGAAGAGTGGAACTCTCAAGCTTCACACTGCCTTCAGCAGGGAGCAGGACAAGAAGGTCTATGTTACTCATCTTCTGGAGAAGAATATGGATGAGATATGGGATGTCATTGGGGCCAAGAATGGACATGTCTACATTTGTGGGTAAGTACAAGAATTTTTTATCAATCTTTTATTTGAATTTCACGTGCTATTCTCTCGGCTTACCGTTAATTTTTTTCATGAAAAAATTCTTCTCGATCATAAAAAAATCGGATTTGATTATAAAAACATTTTTTTTAGGGATGCTCGCAACATGGCACGCGACGTGCACAATATTCTTCTTAAAGTCGTCCAGGAAAAGGGCAAGATGACAGAAATGGAGGCGACCAATTATATAAAGAAAATGGACTCACAGAAGCGTTACTCGAGCGATGTCTGGAGTTGAATATTTTTATTCTATACAAATTTTATAATATTTGTATTAATTGTGATCGAGGGCTGGTGGAGCTCCAATGGCTCCAGGTACCTAGATAAACGAAACAAATTTTTATTCTGTATATAATGAACAATTAGATAATAATTAATTCATCAGGGAAGTGGTGGATCGGGTAGAGTTGAATTTTCCCTAAATCCAGTAATTACCGAGATAATTGCATTCCTACAAAATTGTAAAATCGACAATTTTTTTACGTTTCATCTCTTCTTTGGTGAATATAATCATTTAGTTTGTTCGATTTCAGATGAAATATTCAAAGCGCATTCTGTGCGAAATTTATTTTGAAGTTCTCTTTATTTCAGTTCATCACTGGCATTGTGTAGATACAATGATCATTTCTAGTTTATTTTAATGTACATGTATATTAAGTGAACGAACTAACTGAACAATAATTAACATTAATCGATAGTTTAATCAAAGCGCAAGGGAAGGGAGAATATTTTACAATTCTATGAGATGAAATAAATGTTTAGAAAAAATTTGTTATCGTGATTTCAACGTGAAGTCAATCGTTATGTTGTAATAACGCTTACATAGATTGTAATCGGTATTTGTAATAGAAAAATGCAGTTAAGGATTATTTTTTGTGTTTTTTTGTATCTCAATTTCTCCCTCGATTTTCTTTCCTCAAAGTCACGGACATTGCGGAGTTGTAATTGATGGTTTTTCAAGAATATCTCTAAAATGGTCACAAATGTCGAAAAATCTGTCATAACATTTTTCATAGGAAATTTCTTCAACTACAAAAAAGGTCATTATCAGCGATAGGCTATCTCTCTTGGGTATCGAGATATGCGCGAAAGTGTGTTTAAATTGTTTTTATTTTTTATTGTTAATTTGAAATTATGGGACGCATGTGCAGACGATCGAGAGACTGAGCTGTTTTGCATGTGCTCAGATTTTTTCGGAATAATAATTACTGATTTCCTCAAGATTAATTACCATTTTCGGAGTCATTCTTGATTTTGTAGATTTTTTTCTGGGAAGAGTGAACATTTTTTGGTTTTATGGGGTTTTTTCTATGAGTCAGGCGTGACCAAGACCATCCTAACCTTTTTCCTAACCAAAACAAATCCAGAAGCCTCTATTTTTCACATTATAAATATATTCACGCCTCGTGGAGCGATAAATTATCAGAATGAATGAAATTCTGGACGACAACTTTATGAATTCTTATCCCAAAATAGAGTATACATTGAAAAATGCGTCGTTTATAGCTGTTGACGCTGAATTCTCGGGGATTGACAGTGAAAATGTTCCAGAGCTCACGTCAGTATTCCAATAAATTCAAAAATAGCCCAAAAAAGTGGAAAAAAAAATCCGAAAAATTTAATTCCAAAAACTCAATTATCTATTCTCAATAAACACTCGAATATCTCGAGAACACTGATTCCCACGTAAAAACACTGCTGAACCATTTTTGCAAAGAATTTCATACTCGAAAAAAAGTTTATGAGACAATTTTTCATTAGAACCACTCATTAACCAGATACTTGCAAAATTCAAAGAAGCAATTTGAATTTCCATGTATTTACTAACGGCAGTAGTTTACGTTTTTTCTTTTGTGAATTAATTTCAATTGTTGATTTTCAGATTGTTTGATACAGTCCAGGAGAGGTACGAGAAACAGAGGAATAACATAGCTCCATACACTGCCATTCAAATAGGTCTGACAGCTTTTACAAAAGTCCAACAGCAGAATAAATACATCGCAGAGCCTTTCAGATTTTATTTACTCTCAAGATCATTATTACATGGAAGTAATCAAAATTTCCAATGGGAGAAGACATCAATGAATTTCTTACGAAGGCATAATTTCGATTGGAATAAGGCAAAAATCATTTAACTTATAATTTAATTTAATTAACACAATGATATTCAGTATCTTCTGTGGTTTTGGAGGTATTTTTATAAAACTGATGAAAGTGCAAAGTCAATTGTAAGAAATTGTAAATATTTTCGAAATTTCAGTTGGTGAATGGAGGTATTTCTTACTTAAACCAGTCAGAGCTATCAAAAATGCAGTCCCTACTCAAGGTCAATGATTATATGAGCAATATGGGAGCCTTTCGCACCTTGGAGGAAGAAAATAAATTTGTGAAGTCGATAAAAAATGTCACGGAGTGGCTGAAAGACTCTCCCCTATCCGAAAAATCCATGGAAATTGAATGCGACGATTTCGTACAGCTATGCTGTCTCCAGAGGCAGCTCAGGAAGTCTTTCAAGGGAGTCTGGACCGAGCAGAAGGGTCAGACGATTTTCGTCATAAAAGTTGATGCAGAGACACGAAAAATTCTGGAAGAGGGAAATCAGAATTTCTTTGAAGAGCAGCTCCTGGAGTACATTCTGGGCTTCACCAGAGTCTTTCAACTGCTTTGCGATCTGAAAAAACCCATCGTCGGGCACAATATTCTCCTCGATCTCATGTTCATGTACAAACAGTTTTACAAGGATTTGCCCACGAGTTATCAGAAGTTCAAGAGGGAAATCCATGAGTTGATGCCTACTGTGTACGATACTAAATTCCTCAGTTACGAGATGAGGAAAATCCTGGACTCCAAGGGGCAGGAGGGCCAGGGGAATAGGAAAAAAGGAGGTGGTGTGTTTGTATTATTTGAAAAAATTCATTTTTGTGGAATCAATTACTCATTTTTATGAATTTGTTTTTAATTTTGTTGATCGATTTATTCAGATAAGGGAAGGTCTAACATCCTCGAGGAGCTTTACCGGTTCTTCAAAAATGGTGATGGAAGACTTTTGACCTGGAACTCACCGAACATCGAATTTCCTGATGAAACAACGACTGGTAAATTAAAGAAAAAATACTGGACACATTTTACAAAAGAATAAGAGCACTTTGAATTTTTTTTCGACTCCATTTAAATTAGACATCAATTCCCAATGTTTTATACGAATAGGAAATTCATTTCTGTGATTTTAAATATAAATTTAAATTTTCTTTTCAGATACTGAGGCATATCACGACGCTGGATGGGATTCATACTACACCGGCTATTGTTTTATAAAAATGGCTCACGTTTTCTGTAATCCACACAAAAGGTGAGTATACAAATTTTTACATCGATAATAACAAAAAAAAATCAAAAATATTTCACCAATTCTTTGGAAAGAAATCAATATATGAGATAATTATTTTAGTTGTGGAACTACTCGAGAGTTGAGTCATGTCGAGATGATGTCAAGCCTGAAGTCCCACGTCAACTGCGTCAATCTGATCCGAGCAGATCTCTCCTATCTGGTAATTTTAAATTCAATAGAGAAATTTTAATTTTTGCAATTGACTCAGGATTATTTATCCAGAGCCTTGATGGGCCGGACCCCCCCTCAAGGAGACCCCCCCGATTAAACATCACAGCTCTGCATTTAAAATCCATCAGCACTGATGAGGTAATTACAATTTTCTTATTCATCAATTCATTCCGAAAACTGCAGAATAAATCTTTTGTCGATTTCTCAATAAAATGGAAATTGCTGGTAAATTCAGATCATGAGGGCTCTGTCATCCTTCGATCACTGCGATGTCCAGGTTCAATCACCAAGAAGTGTCCTGGTGGCTGCACCCAACTGGCGAACGTGAGTCCTCTATTTATCAATGCAAAATTTAATTTAGAAATGAAAACACGAGGGGAACGAGCGACCTGTCGTCACTTGTGGCATATTTTTTTACACCAGTGACAAGTAACACGCGTTATTCTCCCTCTCTGTTTCACACCCGGTGACATTTGGGTTAACATAATACAAGCGGTCCAAAATGCTCTAGAATTTCCATTTTTTCTCACTTTGATCGTTTTAATAAGATGAGAAGAAGTCGTAAATCAAAATCAGCGATTCTGTGGTTCCCCAAATATCCTATTCTCCCACAAAACAGCTCTAAAATTCAATTCATTTTCTTCCATTTACTATAAAAAATTACATTTCACAAATTGCATTTATGGAATTATTTATTAGATTAAATCCTCAACAGTGTTCGTTCTAAATTGAACAAAATGAAATTTAATCGTTCAGCTAATAGCGATTTCAGAAAGGATCAACTGTGGAAAGGGTGTAGGAATACTCCGAAAGTAAATAATTCCCTCATAAATCAAAATCCTATTTTACGATTCTCAGAATACCGTCGGTCTCCGAAAATTCGCGCTGGAAAACACAACACGATGTATTTAGCTGTCCAACCCCTCGAGGTGTTTTTGATATCTCGAAAGAAAAATCGATACAATCGCGTGAGAAATGTTCCTCGCGGCGATTTTTCTATCTCGCAATTTTTCTGAGATAATACATTCGTGGAAAAGCGCATTAGAAACGGAGGGATAAGCTGATTAATTACGAAACTGTCAGATTTGGTTGTAAACAGCTCGACAAAGAATTTAAAATCTCCTAAACGACGAGAGGTAAAATGGGAAAATTGCCAGAGCGATGTCTCATAAAATTCGACATGAACAGAACGAAAGAGATTTGACCACAAAGTTGGATTAAGGAGACACTATGCATTCTTGATCGTCGATTGCCCGGGGATCATTTATTTGAGGCTAAATTCGGACATCCTTGGGTATTATTACATTTTCCAATGTTTTTCGATGATTTTTAAGAAGAGAATTGGGGAATGCACGTCAGAGAGATTAAAAAATCAATAGAAAAATCATTAGAATTATTTAACGTGACGAAATGCTCAAGATAAATTTCTTTTAAATTTAGTGGAAAAAAATGTATTCTCAATTCTGACAGAAAATTATTGTTTTTCTGCGTAAAAATCAAGAGTAGATGAGCTATAAATCATCTCTGGCAGAGTCCCAAATGCCGGAGCCAAGCAGACGATGATTTTTCATCCGAAATGGGCGAGAATCGTTTTAAGAGGATTTAAACTTGTAGAACAAATAAACCCGATTCAATTGGTTACCATTTAGTGAGGATTCATCAAGATGATGCGGAAGTTATCGAGTGCATGACTTCATAGAAGATGGAGAGAAAAATATCTCGAGAAATTAGGGGAGTGGTCGTTCACCTCGAGTTATTTCAGGATTAAAGACCCGGGAAATTGTTTCATTTTTATTTTTCATGAGACATTATCTTTTCATGTCATTCTGACATTTTTAAGTCTCTCCGACACTTTAACGTTAATCGTGGAACTTCCAATCATTTGACATATTCTGCTCTTAATTTCCTGCGAAAATCACAAAACAGAATTCAAGTGAAAATTTTTGTTTCCAGGGCTAGGGAAATTATCCAGCATTTCCAGAAGACCAAGGATTACGAGGCGGTCCCTTATAACTTCCTGAAGCACTCACCAACTGTGAGATCCCTCCTCTGGTGAGCGAAACAGCCAGATGAATTTATTAAACCATTTAGCACTTTAATTGGGGATTCGTCAACTTAATTGGTCGTCTGTATTTTCTGGCACATACACCTAGACTGGGATTCTCTAATTAGAGCCAAAATCGTCACTAAGATTTACTCAAGGCCGATATCTCAGTCTCTGCCAGAATCAAATCCCCTAAAACTCTAAACTCTCGTTTTTTTATTCACCTGATTTATCAATACTTATGATTTCAGGGGGACATTGGTGGTTTCTGGCAGTATGCTGGCGATGCTGATTCATCGTGCTGTTCAAAAGCCGCCGGTGACGTAAAAATAAAGAAAATACAAAAAAAAACAAACTGTCTCGATTTTTTCCTCTGTGAACAATACCAATGACGTCTTACAATTTTTTAAAATAGAATCCATGTTATTTCAGGTGATAACCTCGGAGGCGATTGTTGCGGAAGGCACAACATTTTTGAAAAAAAAAAAGTTTTTGAAATTATTGCATAATTTCACACGGACTATATCCAGCAATCGAGGAGAGTGTGAAAAATCGTGACATGTTGGGCTTGAACCCACGACCCTTAGTTAATATAATTAGCACTTCGAGCCTTTACAGACATGGCTATTCACTGGGTTGATAACAACAAATCAGCCACACGTTTTATTCGAGTAGGAAATGAATTTCCGTCGATCGTCAACTTAGGGAGTGAAAAAATATGTAATTTAACGGGTTTTGAAGCTAATGAAGAGGTGGGCAAGTACTATTTTCGGTTCATAAGCTGTTTCGGTGAAAATAGACTAGCCTAGCCCCTGGCCTAGAGCGTAGGCCTCACCAGCCACTATGACGAGATGAGTCTCGTCTCAAGGATGACGTTGTTGGCGAAAATTTTTCAGATGCACGTTGACGTCAGACACGTCATGTCTTCGTCTTGCTAAATGGGAGTCTAAGATTAATCAATTTTTCAATCTCGAAGTCGAACAACTGGGAGGTCCCTCCGCAGGATCAAGAATCAGCTGCGATGGGTTAGTTGGTGATTTTTGTTTTCTGATGATAGGAATTGCATTATTGTTGAGTGAATATTTTGCCCAGCATCTCCAGTGTCACCGGGACATGAGCAAACTCAGCCAAGGGTAAGAAGTAGTAGCAGTGCGCCCCAAGTTCCTCGATATTTCAAAAGTTTTCTCTGGCCACTACCCAAGGCTACAAGTCCTAGAAATAAACTCTGAAATTTTCGTGTGGGCGATTTCGGTGGGACCATCTCTGATGTCCACCGGGGCAGGTGGCTTTTCCTTTCATGTGGAGTGCATTGTCGGGGAATTCAACTGCCAAAGGTCAGTCCGACCGACTTTGCGTGAATTGATTTTTTCTTTTAAATTCGAACAAGAAAATAATGATTGCTAGAGCCGGCAAGAATTTTATCGTTTTCATCAGGAACATTAAAAACGTTCTGAAATATTTTTATTGGAGTTCTGCGAAATGATAGAATTGAATTGCGTAAAAATTGATGATGCGATGACCTAGAGAACAAGATAAGTCTATTTTCATTGGTTTTCACCCGGGGAAAACGTGCGACAGGTGCCACATACACACAAGTGCATTAACTCGCTCGTGAACAAGTAATTTTCATTGGGTTTCTGGCGGTAATATCCGATTTGGCGGCTAAATCCCCAAGAGTTCGCAGTTGAGCACTGGGGTATTGAAAATAAAGGCTCTCGGCTGGGGGGTAATTGTACAAAACTAACTGGGAGTTGAGGTCCGGTATTTTGGGATCTTCTTCAGGGAGTAGGGGATATTTTAAAACTCGTTACATTAATTTCTCGATGAGGTATTGCCCTGCAAATTTATTAACAATTGAAGGTCAATCAACCGATGGTTCTGAAGATTAAAAAGATTCAAAAGCAACAGGTGGTTGTGTCTATGATGAAAAATTGCGGAAAAATTGATAAACCGATGATTGAGGGAGAATTGTCGGACTTTTTCATCGCGATCCGGGCGCAAATTATTTAAAGAGGCCACTACCTAGAAAATTACTCAAAACTCGAGTCTATCTGACACGAGTGTGTGGGTTTTTACCACCAGAAAATGCTACAATACCCTCTATTTCTGTTAACTCCGTGGCAACTGTGTTTTAAAACTATAGACCCGCATCCTTGGCACGACTCATCCACGTGAAGCTCTAGCTTATTAAAACACCTCTATTATGTAAGTCAGTAGCACCCAGACGAGGCGAATCGGCCGGGGGCAGGCAAAAATTCGAGAAAATCAAGGGAAAACATAAATCCACGGGATTTCGGTTAAGTGGCGAATGGGAAAGTCTAGCAGGGGATGATTTATCAAACGGAAATAATACACCCGGTCATGGTAGGTGGAGATCCAACTTCCGATGCGCTAGATGTTGACCTCGGGATCATCCTTCGAGACTTCTATTTTAGCTATCACGCATTTCGACATGATGAATGCGAATTTTCTACGTTTTTCCTGAATATTTCACCGGTAAGTGCCGGGGGGAGCCATCGGCAATTGCCAAGAGATGCTTCAGTGCATTTGGTGAATTATTTAAGACAATGAATTGATGGTACTGATGGTTTTAATGGGCAGATGAAAATCTAAGGTTTTAGATTTTTTCTATTTATTTTGGAATTATTTTAGGAAGTATTTTTTCTACGGGGAACAAGCGATATTTCGAAATTTTTTCATTCAATTGAAATTTTTAATTATATTTGTTAATGATTAGTTGTTGTAATTATAATTTTTGGTAAAATGTGATCGACCTAATTTGCAGAATTGGCCCTGCGTTGAATCTACCCAGGAATCATCAGATTTAGTGGTGAAACCGTGCGTATCTGGTGATGCGGTGAGCATGTAGCTGACAGAAGTTCAACTTCATCTTGTCACTGGGACAGTTAATTGTGCAGATGTCAGACTATATTTGGGAAGGTCTCGGGTATTTCTTGACCCAGTTGGCCCATGATTCGATCTGAGGTCATTATTTTTAGGAGAATCATCCCCGAATCGCCCCAAAATCAAAATCCGGTGAATAAATTTTCAAATCTCCTGCCATCCATAATTACGCCTGCGTAAAACTACACCAATCCGTGACACACCTCCAGACATTGCGTTACAACTATTACATTAACTATTTTTTATATTATAGGGAGATAGTGGTTGCCGTGATGGATCCAGTGAATGTCGTCGATTCTTCAGACGCGTAATGTTGGAAAGCTACGACGTTAAACTTATACCGTACTTTAATTCCGCGCTAATTAAACTCACAAGGTGCGAGGAACATGCAGATGACAGGGGTCATACTACCGCGATGACAGGTGACTAGACAAAGCCGTTGGTGCCAATCAAATTGGCGACCACCAAAATTACATAAAATATCGCAGACAATCTCAACCCCGAATTCATCTCCAACGACGAACTTCCGAATCTCAGACTTGATGTGACACTCTTTAATCACGTGATTTACCTAATTTTTCAGGAGTCATTGGAGAATCATTTTTAAACGATCAAGTGAATCGTTGACGGGTACAAGTTATCGCATTCCCGCCAACTGCCGTGTCAAAGGCCATCGGACCTCGCTAATTCGCACGTGTCGTCGATACCGTTTTATGTCCATTCCCGATAAAAATAGATTAAATTTTCTTTGTGCAAATTTTAACGCCTGCAATTGTCTATCGCATCTGTCGATAGTGTTAGCATTCCCTTACGCTTTTTTTGAATTGATAATGGCAATCATTTAATTCGCGGTTAAATCGATGTTTTTTTTTTAATTGAATGGTAAATTTGTCGATCTTGCAAATGGGGTCAGTTTGGATCCCCACCCTTTTCTTTTGGGCTGATGGTATTGATGATAATCGATGAATCTCAGGAGAAGAAACGCATTTCTTGGCATCGCCATCCTTTCCTTACGCCACATGCGACCAATGATCGTTATATTCCCCACAAAGGCCATTCTAATTTTGTACCATCTCTCTCCCCCTGGGACTCCCCCAGAAATAGACCCACCAATTTTGCGTTTTGATTTATTTATGGGGAATAGATCTCATCGGGTGATGAATTCGCATCTCGTGACAATTGAATTACGCTAGAAAAATCGGTTCGTTTTGCTTAAAATTTGTTATTCGTGGAAATAGAACTCTCAGACTTTCTTCCTCTACTCTGAGATTTCCCTTATTTTTCTTTCCTCATGTCTCTCGCCAAGTGTTTGGATTATGTCATCTCTGAGACATTCGCACCCTCGACATGAAAGAAAAATTATTATTTCATATTTTTTTGTTCCTCTTGCGGATGTCGAAAGAATAGAAAAATTGTCTCCTGAAATCCCTTTGAAACTTCGCAGTATGTTTTTTCGTTTTTTTACTCATGAAGCGAAATTCGTCTTTTTAATTTGAGATGGAATATTTTTGAAGAGTTTGAAGTGTTGATGATCTCTTCATCGCCTGGAAGAGACTAGGAGCAGAAATAGAATTGAATTAGCAGGAAGTGGATTGTCAGTTAATTAGATTTTAAATTACCCGATGTAGCTCATCTATTTTGACATGAATGTTGTGGTGATTCCCCGAAAGTACATTGACCGGTACTTATAATGGTCCACCCGCTCACGAGCGCATGAATTTCGTGAGAATCTGAGAAGCGTGGGTGGTAAGTAGAGAGACTTCTACGATTTCTTTGGGAAATCTTCAACTCCATGCGCAATCCTCCAAAGAATACTGATGAAGCAATTGAAATAATGACATCAAATCCATGGTGAATTCCACCTACACAATTATCGAATTATCTACGTAATGAGGCATTTTAGTCGGCTCCTCTATTGGACCTTTTTTATAGAAGAAAAAATGCTCTACCGAAAGTATCTTATCACTTTTTCCTCTAGTCCGACTGGTTGTCGAGATATTGCTGATTGAAATTCTAGATGATGCACTAATCGGTGCGAGTTTGCTGTTAATAAATAATTATCTGTTTCAGCGGTTTTGTTGTCGTTAATTTCGGTTGGATGACAGATTTTGGTGTTATTAGTGAAGACGCTTTCCACCCAAGGTGTAATCAAAATGGTGGTTCGCGTCATGACGCCGAGTGCGCGCGCAACGAGACATTTAAATTTCCCCGCGGATCTCCCGAAGGCTGAGCAATTCTCCCTCTCAGCATCAGACCTGGGATTTGGCAGAGGGCCAGTCCACCCCTTTTTCAAAATTTTCCCTCCGCATTTTTTTTATCCCACCTTCAAATTTTGTCCACCAGAGTGCGACATCACCGCCTATTTAAACGAATACCGTCATAGCCGATCGCCCCGTTTCGCCCAGCAGCGCAGGCGTTGCCGTACCACCAATTTCAAATAGTCATATTGTAAAATCAGTTAATCACCAAAAATGTCCAAATACTAGTGATAACTCCAGCCTCCTAGAAAGATTAAGTGACTATTTTTTAATTTAACCGGTAAGTTATTCCCTAAAACTGGTGACAAAGTGATTCAAAATAGTGAAATATTTGTGGATCGTATCCCATTATTGGATTGGACTGCCATCATTTTGTGATAATAATAATAAAAAACAGTGAAATTTTAGTATTTCTCCTGGGGATGGGATTTTTGGCTTTCGCGCTCTCCCGTGGCCTAGACCGCACTCTTGACGATTATAACTCTGACCTACACACTCCAGAGCCAAGAGCTTTGATATCCTAAGGTCAACCGAGAGTGACGAGTGTTTTTTTTTGTGAAATCCGTTTTTTTTAAAATCCGTTTTACATAAAAAAAGTCCATTTCAAAGCGCTGAAGCCCCGAAAATCGCAGATATTCCGATTTCTCTGGAGTTCTAATGATAAAAAAGTTGCGATTTTTTAAATTTTCACTCCATCATTAAGCAAAAGACAATTTTGATTCGCAAACGGTTCGTACCAAAAAAAATTGCTGATATGCAAAAAAATTGAAATCGAGTTAAAATTTGAAAAAAATAGGGGAATCTTCTTTTTAAAAAATCTAAAAAAATTGTAAAAATCTGGTTATTGGCATTTAATGTTTGACAACAAGTCGAGAGCCCGAAAAAAAAATTGCCGAGCTCTTTAAATATCCCATCAACACGTGTAGATGTGCATCGTTACGCTAGATGCAGCGGTCCAACAATTCTAGTGAAGAAATAACCTCGTAAAACCTCGGTATTACCCAACAGTACCCCTCATATACTATTAACAACTTTAAATATAATCACCTAAGGATTTAACGACCGCCCAATCCCTAAACCCCGCTAAAATTTCAAATCCCCGGAAAAACTCGTAAAAGCCACCTTTGAACAAAAATAAATGAAAAATTGCCACAACAAATAGTCTAGGAATTAATAGATCCGAAAGAACCGCCCGATCTATCCAAAATTTATTTTTGATAAATTAAATGAAATGAAATCATGAAATTATCAGAATAATTGAATTTTTAATTTTTTGGGTGATTGATAAAAATGAAAAATTGAGATAAATGATTTTTTTTTTGTTTGCCAGTGTCGGGATTTTGGCAGTCATCCCTTGCCAAAATAATTAGGAAGTCGTCGGGGATGTGCTAAAAGCGTCCGCTGCGGACACGCGCGAAGGCTAGTCGCTCCCGGGAGTTTTCCGAGGTAGTTTAAATTTTTTCATTCTCTCAATATTCATCTACCCCAAAATCACCGATTGGATTATTTGAAATCCTGCGGGGCCCGACAGACCCGCGTTGGGGCCTCTTCGGGGCTCTAGCACCAGTTATTCTCCTGCTCTGGATTCAAATATTGCGATTATTCCTCATTATTTACCCCAAGTTGCCAAATCGTTACGTAAGTTTTTATTATCGAGATCATTCGCCGATAAATAACCATCAAGATGTCATTTATTAAATTTGTTTATTGACATTTTTACTATTTATTTGCAAAAGCCCTCGCGCAATTTAATCTCTTATTAGTGAACCCTTGAGTTTCGTTCCCTATCCATTCATGCATTAAAATCTCCCGAAAAATCGATGACGAAATAAAATCTAATGACACTGAGACATTGAAACGTTTCAGGAGAAATATTGTTACATAATCGGAACTCACAATACGTCAAATCCCGACTGTTCGAACGAAATCGTTAAATACGCGCCAAGGAAACAGCCCATCAGTCCTATCCGATCTGAAAATAGAAATAACCCGTTTCAAGTGCGTCACAGAGACGGATCCAGGGGAAAATTATTCCCGAAAATTCACCAATAGCATATGCCCTGACCCCCTGAAACCCTTGTCGCCCCTTGTCACCCCTTGTGCAGCTAGGAAGATGAAAACGCCGAAAGAAAATCCACCCGGTGATTTTTTTTTTTCCAAGAAATCAAAAAACTTCACGAATAATTTTGAATTCTTGTCAAAATCCCGCCGGGACCCATCCTCGCCTCTTGGGACTTGAAAATTCGAGATGAACCCAACAATTATAATTTCCCAAAAGATTTTTGTAATTCTCGAAAAATTTTCAAATGTCTCCCAGTTTCCCGCCACTTTTCGGTTTCACTGGAAAAACGCGGATCGAACGGAAATGGAGTTCCCCTGTGTCCTCCAATGACGTTCGTCCACATGCTTCTTTTCCCCTCGATTCTGCCCATTAATCCCCAGCGTCCCCCCATTTGCCACCTCTTCTGGCCCCCCCAGGTGCCATCAACTACCCTAAAACCCCACCCCACTCCTCCCCGCTTCCAAGATCCTCAAAGTTTAAAAAAAAATGGCATCGATACCCATTTTCCCGAATGACAGTGCGAAAAAATTGAAAAATACGTTTGAATGCCCGAGGTATTGGCGCGCAGTGCCCGGCCAATCACAGGTCGGGGGGCGGACCAATGGCGCTGGGTTCGGCGGGGGGGCGGTAGGACAGGCGTTTGGTCTCGAGGATCCCAATAACTCGTGGAAAAATAGTCGGATTTTCGTAGTCAACGGGTAGTGAAGTACCTCCGATTAATTTTTATAATTTACCATTACAATAAGTAATTAAATAATCAATTATCGCGGCCCGATAATAATAACATCATGACGCACTGCGAACTCGTGCCAATGTTGTTCTTGTGATATTTGTTTGTGAGGTTTTTTTGAATTTTTTTTTCCTTTTTTTTTCTTCTTTTCGAAAAATAAAACGAGTGAGTGGGGATTAACGAACATAACCTATTTATTTTTGTGGGGGAGTGTTTATGACACGTAGTGGAACAGCCGTTCGGTGAGTTGAGGGTTTCCTCCAGCTGGGGTGTGTAATGACCCCAGTGTGGGGTCTTTCACCCCCTTTTCGAGGGATTCCCATATTTTTAGAACGAATATTCAATTTTTAACGTTTTTTCGGCAATTTTTCCTACTTTTTCTCCCCGACATTTTCTTTGGCTCAGGGGTGGGGACTTTTTGAAACCTCCGGACGATTTTTCCCCAGTTTTCATCGGATTTTCCAGGGGGAGGGGAGCTCACGCGTGACTCGACGAGTTTTGTGATTATTCAATAGTTATTTACGGATTTTTATCGCTTCCTGGGAGTTTTCGGGATTTAGGGATGAAATTTGGGGTTAGGGGGGAGCCTCGGGTTGGTTTACAGTTTTGAGGATCGGGGGGCGGTTTTTTTGGACTTTTTCTGGTTTCAAGTTCGAGATTTTATTTTATATAGTGCGGAGTCTTTTTTTTTTCGTTTTTATAGCGCCAATTTAATTTTTATGGGAAGGAATCCATTGCTAAAATTAATTGCTGATGGATGATTTTCTTATTATTTCAGAGAGTATTGTTGTGAATGAACCTTTAAAGACTTGAGTGGACGAAACACAGGGATTTATTGTTGATTTTACCTGGAAACACAATGGAGGACGCCCACGCTAAGTCAGTGGACGAGGTGTTGAATTACTTCAATGTTGATTCTGAGAAGGGTCTGTCGCCGGATCAAGTCAAGAGGAATCAGGAGAAATATGGTCTCAACGGTAAGTCATAAATTTCCGTCAATACCCATCGATTTTCATTAAATCTACCAGAACATGTGTAGAACAGGAAAGCACAACAACTCCCAACAAATCCATTTTCCAAGACACCTCCGAAACCACGATAGATAGCGAGATTCACCTTGGCACCTTTTTTATAGATAATTCCACGAGCTGCAAAAAACGTCCCACTAAACTCTCGCTATCTTTTTTAGTTCCGGAGTTATTCGTCAAAAACTAATCCCTCATTCTGCGAAATTGAAATTTTCGTTGGAAGATCAGGAGTATTTTTTTTTTTAATTATAAAAAATCGCAAAATGTGCTATTTTTTAATGCAAAAATATTGGGATATGATGAGGAAAGTTGGATGAACCCAAAAATAATGGAACGGCCATCAATTCCCTTCTCCAAGACTTGGCCTGCATTCCCACGAAAGCAACGTGTTTTCCTCATGCAAAGTTGATGATTTAATCTCCCGTGTCTCTTATATCGTTATCTCTCTCGCGATCGCAGGAGAATAAAACAAAGTCCACTGCATATTGTTATCAGTCTTTCGGCGCAGCTTTATCTCCATCTTATGTCATCAAAAAAAATTGTTTCAATACAATTGAAATAGCAGCGATCCAAAACCCGTTATTCGCCTCACGATATCTACATATCTTCGAGGCCCACAGGTTTGCGATCATTATCATCAGAAAGTCACGGAAATTTTCCCTCAAATTAACAAAAATCGTCCACTTATTCCAGACACAGAGAATTGTTTTTTTTTTAAATTTGTAAAATTATTTGGTCTTTCTCTTTGAGGGTGGAGCCATTGGGGATGTTGATTGTGGGGATTATTAAATTTAGGTGAGCTGTTTCGAATTGCAAATAATATATTTTGAGGGGCAAAAATAGTGGAGCGTCTTGTTTAAATCATTCATAAAAATATCATCAATCATATGGAACATTGGAACAAATAATTAACACGTTAATGAGGCTATGTAAACCCCATTACATCACTCGTTCAGAAATTTCTGTTTATCCCAAGATTTTTATTTTGCGGTTCACCAGAAGTTTAGGGGCTTGAGAGGTACATAAATGCCACGACTGTCACATCCGCGTCTTCAAGGCGCCCACGGACCGAATTAGAGCCTCGTATTTCGGATATTTTCGTTCTGACACTCACGTTTATTCTTCAGGTGGATCTTTCAAGCGGTTGATTTTTTAAACGATTTTTGAACTTGAAACCGAATTTCTTTTTCAAAAGCGGCTACAGTCCACTCAGTCAATATCAAGTTTTGGATTATTGAAAATTATCGCGTACGATTAATGAGTCGTCATTAATGAATCATCGAGTTTGGTGATTGGATGGTTGTATTTTCGTGGCATTTTTATATTCGATGGAAGGAGAGGTGGGAGAGCCAATGAACTTTGGAGAACTGGTTGAATGAAGTTTGTTGTAGCCTTGTGGGTAAACTTGGTGATTAGAGTTCGAGAGGTCAACGATTCTTTATAACTCCCATCGCTCTCTTCCCTCTGGCGCGCTTAAACTTTTTTTTTCTTAGAGAATTTTAATTTTGGAATTTAGCTTTTGATTGGGGAATCGGGAATAATCGTGTTAGTGCGAATGGCACACCTGACGTAGACGTTAAGTTGGCGCGTAAGCAAAACCACGTCAGACTATCGAAGGCTGATTCATTATTAATGAAAGTCATGAGACACCATTTGTAGTGGGTTCCCTCGTTTTTCCGGTTGAATCGTCACGTGGTTGTAACCACTGTTTCCACGTCCAGAAGTCCCCTGGAAATATTATTTCAATGATAAATTACCGATTTTATGGACTGCATCAGTCTTTTCATTGCAATCAGCACTGGGGTATTAAAACTTGAGGTGACTTTTGAGATTTCTGAAGTTTATCAAGAGTGAGTTGCAGGTAATTGGAAATTTTCAGGCAAACCAAGAAATCGGTAATTTATATTTAAGAAGTGAATCGTCGCAAATTCATGAACGAAAGCGCTAGTTGATTAAAAAAATTGAAATGTCGAGTGCAGTCGATGGAACGTCTTCATTACCTCATTCCTTCAGTTGCAAAATCTCCAGTTGCATCGGGTGCAACGAAATTTGCGTGGGTTCTCTAGTGCTTTGTGCAGCAACACTAGTCGTCCAAATATTTAGACATGACTCGACACCGATGAATAGCCCCTTTGATACATCAAAACGAAATTCTCCCGACAAAAGTTGCCCCAGAAACCCCAATAAAAACATCCAAAAACAATTCACCATTTATTAAATCACCAATCGCAAATCATCAGTTCCACCTGATGATTGAAAATAAATTTCACCGTCTGAATGACGCCTATCCCCATGAATTCTAAAATTAGCTGCCATAGTTTTTTTTATTGACGACGATGATTTGTTCGACGTGGTAAAAAAAAAAAGCCGTGGCTTTGTGAGTCCGTCCTTGCGCTTACGCTCACTCTCGCGTGACAAATCCGTAACATCAGCATGTGTATACCCTCGTACGAGACTTTTATCAATAGAAAACACTCTCCCGACACTTTTTTCCATCATTTTTTCCAATCAACCCCCACAAGTCCCTGAAAAAAAAAAAATCCTCAAAAATTCCGGCGAATTCCTCAATCCTCTCCAAATCGACTCGGCTTGCCCCGGATATTGCAGAATTCCATTAAAAGAATTTCTATTTTGATTTTGAATTTCTGAAAATTACTACTGAAAAATGGAAAATTACATGAAAATTTAATTTAAATTTTTCATTATCGTATTGCAAACGCATATATGTATCTATCGTTATAAATTTTATCTATTGAAAAAATGAATAGAAAATTCTCTTGGTTGTCGATTGGCGGGAAGTTTGAACAGCTCCGACGATTCGCATTCGATTTTATGAGGGGAATCTGATGTTTTGATGATGAATATTTATTTTAACTTGAGGGATAGTTCAGGGGGAATGAATTGGTTGTCATATGCCGTTGGACATCCCCTGACCCTATCGATCCTCTTATGCACCCTTTGACGCATTAAAACACGTGTATACCCCACAATCATTACTCATTCCATGAGAAAATACGGAGGTTTGAGTGAGTCGAGTCGATTTTTCGGCGATTATTATTTATTGCTGGAGAAACCGACGCGTCTTTAGATGGCATTAGAATTTTTAATCAGATGGGGTTGTCGATAGCTCCAGACACTCCAACTGGGTCAGCTTAAAGCGAATAATCCTAACGCTTTCCGAGGAATCGCTTGAACCCCACCTTCTGACGTATTAAATTAGCCAATCCTGGAATTATAAACAATTTTTCATGAACAATTGTGAATTTATTCATAACTAAGAAATATTACATAAATGTTTATTCAATTTTTATGAATTAATTCTGTAATTAATTCAATTGAATAATGAATTATTTACTCTTTTTGATTGAATTTTTAAAATTAATTTTGTAATGATTTTTAAAAAATTATTAAATGTTTTAAGAATAAAAAAGAAAATTATCGTTTAATATTTTGTTTATATTTTAATAGTTTCAGGGAATTTAGGAACAAATCTTGACTGTAATTTTTTTTGTTTCAGAATTGCCAGCCGAGGAAGGTACGTAAAAATGGCAACTTTTCACATAAATAAACGTGAGACCTCGATATCTGTCCCCTGTCACCCTTCAGGGTTTAAATAACAGTTTGTCGCGGGACTCTTGGATGTTGGGGCGTGGGAATTAATAATAGAACACTCTCAGGTGCGACGGGAGAACAAGAGGATGATAATGGGTGGAAACAGAATAGTTGACTCATCTGTCTCAATTTCCCCTTGACCGACGTTGAAGGCATTCATATTCATTCGATAGAACATAATGTCAAGATGCCTCTCAATCCTTTGACTATTCCTCACACCTGAGAGAAAAATTTTCCCCAGTCATCAAGAAAAAAAAAATAACCAGTCCCATTTTCTTTTTCTCGCGATTCTTTTCATTGACCTCATAATCAAATTCCGCTCGACGATAACTCGCGCGCAGTTGAAAAATGTCGGAGGGGCTTACGAGAATTGGATTTATCAATCAATGACTAGTGACACGCGATTTTATCAGCTGTTTTCCAATAATTGCTGTTTCATTGAGTTCAGTCTCGAGTTTTCACCAGTCGTGGTGGCTGGAGGTGATTTCTCCAGTAAAAATTTCCCCCAATTAGATTTCCCCTGAAATTAATTATAACTCTACCATATTTTTCAATGATTTTTAAATCTCACGGTTATGTGGATATCGATAGTCTATCCGTTGAAAAACTAATTATTTTATGAAGAATTTTATAAATTGACCTGCCGCGTGTTTATCACACCGAATGATTGGTGATGACAGATAATTTTGCAATTTTTGGTTGATTTTCATATGATAATTAATTGAAAAAAAAAGGCGAAAAATCGTTATGGGTTGGACTTGAACCCGCTACCCTTAGATTACTAGTCACAAAATTTATTTACACGGCTATGCATTGGGAAAGAATCAATAATTTTTTTTTTTTTCAATCCTCGCGGAATTTTTTTCGACTGAAATTTCCACGAGGGACATTATCTCGGGAGAATTTCGAAAGGGGTAATTAATACCGGGAAGTAACAGTCGTGAATAATTAAGTCTGTGATCAGGATATCGCGGAAATAGGCTGAAGAAACAATTCGGAAATAATGAGTCGTCGATAGTCTCAAATTAATGAAATTGTCGACATCGCGCTGTTTGTCATGACGTCAATCATACGCAAGGCATTTGCTGAGCTGTCAAGGCCACTTAGGACAGCTCTCTTAGTTCGCACAGTATAACAAGAGTTGTTCCGCTATTTTCATCACGCGATAACAAGGACACGAGATACTTCCGCATCAAATAAATTTACGAGCCGTTGAATTTTTTTTCGGTGATAAAGCGTCGTGAGTTTCAGATGAATATCTCAAAATCCAAGGGAAATATGAGGAATCGACTGATGACCACTTTTATAGAGCAGAATGAGATCTGCAAAAAATGTCATCAGAAGAATTCCCGGTGTCTCTTAGATTCGGAGATACAGTAGAATCTCGTTACAGTCGAAAGTCTTTTCAATTTCTGTTTTCGCGTATATTTTTTGGTTTCACCAGCTACTACCCTCGGGCTACAACATGTAAACAATCCATTGTGTCATCCGGCGTGGAATTGAATTCCGGGCAAAATAAAGCTGAAAAATAAATTTCTCTCGTATCATTCGAATTTGATATTAAAAAAAGTCAGTTTTTACTAGTGCGTTGGGATTATTTTCGACCCCATAATTTTCAAGGGTAAATACCGTTTATCTCGTGTCGTTTCTGGGGAAAAGAATTCTCATCAATGACTGGAAATACTCTAAGTCATCCGGCACTTGATCAGTTGGCGTGCACCCAATTCAAACCACATGGCCCATCATAAAAAACAGATATCGATGATCCATGAGTGACCGCACCCATGTCTGGTATCACCGGGAACTTGTCTTTCAGGTAAATCCATCTGGCAACTTGTGCTGGAACAATTCGATGACCTCCTAGTTAAGATTCTCTTATTAGCCGCTATCATATCTTTCGTAAGTATAAAATTCACTCTATATTCTGGTGAATATCTCAGTATCCAGAGGAGATAGCAATGTAGATAAGAGGACCTTTTTGGTAGTTGTGAAAATTCGGGACAAAAAATGTTCTCATGATTGTGGCGCTATCCCCCACGGATTTCGAGATATCCATCACCGAACACATAAAAACCAAAGAGTCATCTAAAACCATCAATACCATCTCCAGGTATTAGCTTTATTTGAAGAGCATGAGGATGCGTTCACAGCGTTCGTCGAGCCCTTCGTTATCCTTCTAATTCTAATCGCCAATGCTGTTGTCGGTGTTTGGCAAGAGCGCAACGCCGAGTCTGCGATCGAAGCCCTTAAAGAATACGAACCCGAAATGGGAAAAGTCGTGAGAAGCGACAAATCGGGTGTTCAGAGGATTCGCGCCAAGGAAATAGTCCCAGGTGACATCGTCGAGGTGTCGGTTGGTGACAAAATTCCAGCTGATATTCGTCTCATAAAGATATACTCCACGACAATCAGAATTGACCAGTCAATCTTGACCGGTGAATCTGTATCGGTTATCAAGCACACAGATCCAGTGCCTGATCCACGAGCTGTCAATCAGGACAAGAAGAATATTCTCTTCTCAGGTACAAATGTAGCTGCTGGTAAAGCACGGGGTGTTGTTATGGGCACTGGTCTCAATACAGCCATTGGAAAAATCAGAACCGAAATGTCAGAGACTGAGGAAATCAAGACACCTCTTCAGCAGAAGCTCGATGAATTTGGCGAGCAGCTGTCGAAGGTTATTTCAGTTATTTGCGTTGCTGTTTGGGCAATCAACATCGGCCATTTCAACGATCCAGCTCACGGTGGCTCCTGGATCAAGGGTGCAATCTACTACTTCAAGATCGCTGTTGCACTGGCTGTCGCAGCTATTCCAGAAGGTCTGCCTGCTGTCATCACAACATGTCTTGCACTTGGTACCAGACGAATGGCCAAGAAGAACGCTATTGTTCGCTCCCTGCCATCCGTTGAAACTCTTGGCTGCACCTCTGTTATTTGCTCTGATAAAACTGGAACTCTTACGACTAATCAGATGTCCGTGTCAAGGATGTTTGTGTTTGATAAAGTTGAGGGCAATGATAGCAGCTTCCACGAGTTCGAGATCACTGGATCAACATACGAGCCCATTGGCGAGGTCTTCCTCAAGGGTCAGAAGGTCAAGGGCGCTGATTTCGAGACTCTCCATGAAATCGGCACTATCTGCATCATGTGCAATGACTCGGCTATTGACTTCAATGAGTTCAAACAGGCTTTTGAGAAAGTTGGTGAGGCCACTGAGACAGCTCTTATCGTTCTTGCTGAAAAGATCAATCCATTTGGCTGTTCTAAGACCGGTTTGGATCGCAGAGGAACTGCTATCGTTGTACGACAGGATGTGGAGACCAAATGGAAGAAGGAATTTACGCTGGAGTTCTCCAGGGATCGCAAATCGATGTCGTCTTACTGCGTGCCACTCAAGACTTCGAAGCTTGGAACTGGGCCAAAACTTTTTGTCAAGGGAGCACCTGAGGGTGTACTCGAGAGGTGTACACATGCTAGAGTTGGTACAAGCAAGGTACCTCTCACATCGACCCTGAAGAACAGAATTTTGGATTTGACAAGGCAGTATGGAACTGGCAGAGATACTCTTCGCTGTCTGGCTCTTGCCACTGCTGATCATCCCATGAAACCTGATGACATGGATCTGGGTGATTCGACCAAGTTCTTCACTTATGAAAAGGATCTTACGTTCGTTGGTGTTGTTGGTATGCTTGATCCACCGAGGAAGGAGGTATTTGACTCGATCGTCAGGTGCAGAGCTGCTGGTATCAGGGTTATTGTTATCACTGGTGACAACAAGGCAACTGCTGAGGCTATCTGCAGGCGTATTGGTGTCTTTACTGAGGACGAGGATACAACTGGAAAGTCTTACTCTGGAAGGGAATTTGATGATCTACCGTTGTCTGAGCAAAGATCCGCTTGTGCCCGAGCTAGGCTCTTCTCCAGGGTTGAACCTTCTCACAAATCCAAGATTGTCGAGTTCTTGCAGAGCATGAATGAAATTTCAGCTATGACTGGTGATGGTGTCAATGATGCACCTGCTCTCAAAAAGGCTGAGATCGGTATTGCTATGGGATCTGGAACTGCTGTTGCCAAATCGGCTTCGGAGATGGTGCTCGCTGATGACAATTTCTCATCAATTGTTGCTGCTGTTGAGGAGGGCAGGGCTATTTATAACAATATGAAGCAGTTCATTCGGTATTTGATTTCGTCGAATATCGGTGAGGTTGTTAGCATCTTCTTGACTGCTGCACTCGGACTTCCTGAGGCACTTATTCCTGTTCAACTGCTGTGGGTCAATCTCGTTACTGATGGGCTTCCTGCTACTGCTCTTGGATTTAATCCACCTGATCTTGATATCATGGATAAGGTGAGCATGACATTTTTACAACTATTTTTTTTTCTAAGACTATTATTACAAAAATTAAGAAAAATTGAAAAATATAACTGAGAGAAAAATTGATGTAATTAATTATTTTTAATTTTGATCGATTTAAAAAAATAATGACTGTCGATTTTTCAAAATAGATTATTCTACATTGACTATTTTACAACTTGTTCGAAAAAAATTAAATAATTGATGTTTCATGTGACTTTTCAGCCCCCACGTAAAGCTGACGAGTCATTGATCTCCGGTTGGTTGTTCTTCCGTTACCTTGCCATCGGTGGATACGTCGGTGCAGCAACAGTCGGTTCAGCAGCCTGGTGGTTCCTCTACAGTCCAAATGGACCCCAACTCAACTACTATCAGCTGGTAATTCTCCCTCATCTTCACAATAATGAAGAATTTGATTGATTATCTTGCCATTCATTTCAGACTCATCACTTGTCCTGTATCGGTGGTGGGGACGAGTTCAAGGGTGTCAATTGCAAAATTTTCACTGATCCTCATCCCATGACAATGGCTCTCTCTGTTCTCGTCACCATTGAGATGTTGAACGCCATGAACAGGTGAATTTTCGACAGTTTTTGAGAATCTTCAACGACTACTTCAATGATTTCAAGTTGTTGAGCTTTTTTTTTAATTTCTACCTTTTGATTTGCAGTTTATCTGAGAACCAATCGCTCATCAGCATGCCACCATGGTCCAACATGTGGCTTATTGCCTCCATGGCTCTTTCCTTCACACTTCACTTCGTCATTCTTTACGTTGAAGTACTTTCGGTGAGTTCTTTATTCACTGCTACTGGAAACTATTGACTGTAGGGGAAACTATCAAGAGATCTTTTTTCTTGTGGATTTTGTCATCTACAAGAAAGTTCTCTGACGTTTCAATTGTTAGTTGACAGTTGTCGAGTTAAATTTGTAATTGTGAATCATGTTTATTGAAACAAATGTTATTTTTCAATGTTTCAGGCTGTGTTCCAAGTTACTCCCCTCAGTGGTGATGAGTGGGTAACAGTAATGAAGTTTTCAATTCCAGTTGTACTTCTAGACGAGACCCTGAAGTTCATCGCCAGAAAAATAGCAGACGGTGAGAGTCCAATTTACACCGTACACTGGATTGTTCTGATGTGGGCTGTGTTCTTTGGACTATTAATAGTTTGCCCAATTTAGAGAGTTTATTTATCTTCATTTTTGAATAGCCAGGGTTTACAATGAATTAATAATTGGAGAATTAACTAGCTTAATGATTTAAAACAATATGCTATGAGAGAAAACAAAAAATGCAAAAGATGCAATGGTCGGCAACATGGACGAGAGTATTTCCTGTGGAAAAAGGCATTCCGAGGGAATCTTGGACTTGCAGCTGCATTTAATCGAGTGAAAATGATAAAAAAAAAAACAATAATCATGCATAAATAGCAAATGTCAAGGAAGAGACATTTTCTTTCTTTTCTCGTTTTCTCGGGAAAAAAATTAACGAGAGTGTGTTTAAGTGAGATTTAACCAGTTTTTTTTTTCCTTTTTTCCTCGTCTGACTGTGAGAGCATGGAGTCAGTTCTGAGGAAATTGGTCTTCATTCTGTGATTAAATGAAGTGAATTTTGGTTCGAATGAATTTTTAGGAATTCCTAGGATTCATGGGGGTGAGAAAAGAAAACTGGGAAATTTGTGTTTCAATTAATGACAGAATTCGTAACGCCTTTGTCGATAGAGGAGTAATTATTGTAATTGTGTGAATCCGTTATTTAATGTTACCCTTCTGTTCCCTGAGTGAATCCCAAGTTGTTTTATTATTTTATACGAGTGCCTTCGAAGAGTTTCACAGACCCAGATCCAATTTTTTTTTTTTTTTTTCATTGTTTATCTTCCCAATAGGCGAATTCTCGCACAACTCGAGTGAATTTTAGGGAAAATTCGAGAGGTCGAGGGATAAAGCGGTCTGTATCTCGGGATCTCGGGGAGATAGAGGATTTTAAGTGGAGTACTTTTTTGTAGCCCTTGAAATTATCGACAAAAAAGGCAGTTGGGAGATTTTTGCCATCTTGTTCCGTTTTCCTGGTATTTATGAATAACGAAACGAAGAAAATTGTCGACATAAATTCGTAGATTTTCTGTTTTTGTGGATTGGCGTGGGAGGGGAGGGAGATAGTGAAATTTTTCTGGGGAACTTTTTCTGGGGAATTTCAAGAGCTATATAAAAGATCTAATGGGTTTTTGCGGTAGTTTGTGGGATTTTCGAGATAGTCAGCAAAGAGACTCGGATGCCAGTGATTTTTACAGCTTTATCTCTTTGATCTCTGAATTGCTATGGCGCTGACTAAAATGCATGCAAGTTTACCGATGTCTTCTCTCATGCGACGCAATGGCCTCATTAATTAGCAATTTTTTGATATAACACGGAATAAGAGTGTGAGGATTTATTAATTCAAGTTGTAAATATTGATGAATAGTGTGAGAGTTAAATGCTGTACATTTCTAGCTTTTTTGATGATTTTTATTCCAATTGGGGAAAATCGTTGGGGAATGCATCGGTGACTTCATCAATTTATTATTTTTTCTCTCTTACAATTTCATTTTCCATTAATGATTTTTTTATAGTAAAAAATCATAGAAATTAATTTCCTAAAACTCGATCGAGATCGAGGGGTCCCCAATCGATTGGTAAATTCCAGATCGATAAATAAAATCAAAATATTTCGGTCGATTCAATGGGATTTTAGGGGAATCCCCCCAATGCATTCATCGAGAAATGACGAGAATTGTTTTTGTTTACTTTCAATTAAATCGTAAAATTTCACTGTTATTTTGTTTATTATTACACATGAACACGAGAGATAAATAATCCAAGGAGATTTATCGAGGACTGACGTTCGCACCCGAATATATTTCCTCGTTCGAGGAAACAAAGCGTCTTCCAAAAGAAATAAATCCGAGTTAATGCTGTCGCACGCTATTCGTTCCTCCTCACATAAATCCCTCGTGTTCTAACAAAAATTGGAATGAAAAACATGAAATAGATAATGTGATGCGAATCTGGGATTCGGTAAGTGATCGATGCGATAAATTTTCTTATCAGGATTAAATTTGTTTTACCATTCCTTCCCACACATGCTTGACGATCCAATGAGTGTAATTACATTTTTTTTCTATCGAATCATTGATGAATTTTTTGACATGTGCTTGTGTGTTAATCTCCCCTTGATGTCTTTGTATTTATAAATATTTTTTTGAACTGACCAAAAGGGTCTGGAGGTCAGGTGTGCCATCCTGCGTCGAGTTGTGGTAATTTGAGAATTTTCTTTAAACAATTTGAGATTTTTTCCAGTCTTTCATTCTGCCACTGAAGATTTTTAATCCATAATCCGTGAATTTATGTCCTCGAGGAATTGAATACACGACTAATTGTCGTGATAATCATCACAATAAATAAATAATTAATAATAGAAACCAAGAAACATAAATCGTAATAAATTTAATATCGGTTTAATTGCTTTAAATATACGATAGATGAGTAATAAATGTAGTCATTGAATTCTGAAGATATTACAAGACTGAACGATCGGCCATGATGAAACTTAATTAATTAATTGATTAAACTGAAGAATTCATGAATAAACGGATTAAAATGGAAAATATTACTGTTGAGATGGATCGGGAGTGAATTGTGGGGTTTCAGAGTATTTTTGATGGGATTGGAAGTATTTTCAAAAGCCGGGGAAAATTACTGGTGGCTAACACCCCCGGATGACCTATTTATCTCTCAGAGGTCTCGAGAAAACATGGAAAAACTTTTCAACTTGTTTTCCCTTGAGCTTCTCTGGCTGTGGGGCAAAACGGGTGGTCGGATATTTCCCCGGTTTTGCGATGAGATTTTTTTTATCATCAACTTTCTACCCCAACGTGTTCTGATTATTCCCGAAGAAGAGGAAAATAAAAAATGATGATTTTGTTAATAAATGGGGTAACGCGGTGCACTGAAAGCGCAAATATCTCGGTAACGAGTGCCTCTAGAGAAAATTTCGCTGTACCTTTTTTTCTACCTTATGAAATTTTCGACAAAAAACCCAAATGACTTTTTTCTCCGAGATGAATAGTTACTGAGATAATGAGTTGCGGAGTGTTCAATCGAAAATTATGATCAGTTGGAATTTTTAATTGGGAACTTAATATTTTTTAATTGTCTCAGTAACGAGGGATTTTCGTGAAAATGTTGTTTAACCTTTTTTGTAGCTGACGAGATGATCTACAAAAAAAGTTCTACGACTATTTGTCGTAGAATGGCTCGGTATCGAGATAATTGAAGAATTATGACGCGAGAAATAGTTATTTTCCGGTTTTGCTATTTTTATACGAAATCGGAGATTTTTCTCGGAATTCACTTCAATAATCCACTAATTTGCTCAATAAACTCGACGTGGGTGGCTGGCAGGAAACAATTAGCAGGAAGTTGACGAATTCCGTTGACCATTTAGCGCGGAAAATGACCCGATCCCTGAAAACGTTTGGGATTGAAAAACAAAATTTAACACACGAGAAAATGTACTGGTGCGGGAGACTAAAATTTAAACAACAAATAACCGAGGAACACCCTCAGGCAAATTTTACAATTAATAACTTATATTACTGTAATGTTAATTAGTCAGCGAGATGTGTGTGATATCCCCGTGAGTTGTACGGCCGTCTTAATTAATTGACAATTCCCCAATAATAACAAATATTCATAAATTGACTTGTGGGCAGAGGACTTCATTAAAAAGCTCGAAAAATTCGCCCCACACCTAAGCCCAAAATTCCAATCAATTTTTTATCTCCTAAAGAAAAAATGGAGGGGAAATTTTTCGATCTATCAAATGGCCTCCCACTTCACCCCAACAAATGCAAAAATCGAGAATATCTTCGAGCCGTCATAAAAAAAATTAACATAGAGAATTAAACGTGACACCTGGACAAAATTTTCGAATAAAAATCAGCGATTTTAGTTTAAAAATGTGGAATGATTATCACTGAGGGATTTTTTTTTAGTGATTTGTGATTGGTTGAGAGAAAAATGGAGAATAATCATTGGAGAAAGTGTGTTGTTGATAAGTGGCTGGTGGCAGCGATCGACCTAGTAATTATAAAAATCATTGAATAAAACAAGAGAGAAATAGAAGGGTAGAGGATATGGGATTTTTTTTATTATTATCGTAATCCTAATGTTTTTGTGGATTTTTCGTCTGCTCAATCCCTTCTAATCACCTGTACTATATTATTATTGCCTAGCAAAATGCGGTGAAAATTTCGATTCAAGAGTTTCCGGTCGAGTGAAGGCCAAGTAATTAAAAAAATCGTGAATAATAAATTAAATCTAGTACAAGATCGTTCCCGGAGAAAAAGAAAAGAAAATAAAGATTTAATGCTTGGATGGAGTATCTCGTAAAGATAATGTACTCCAAAATTTACATTTCTAATTTCTCCGCCAATTGTTTTTATTTTTCGAAAATGTTATCTAGTGCCCTAGCTATTGTCAGCAGCTAGAGCACTAGATAAAAAATTATGAAAAAACAAACTGATTGGCGCAATAATTAGATAACTGAATTTTTATTTTTAAGATAATTCATCCAGCCTTAAAATACTCGGTAAAATCTACAATTGCGTCGATCAAATCTGAATTTCCGTGGGAATTACTTCAATTAAGCTGACACGATAGCTCGTGAACTGGAGTTTTTACCTATCACAGGACGAAGTACACCCATTAAACCCTCCGAATGTAACATGATTGTTTCTGACAGCATTTGAAATCGATTTTTTTTTCATCCACCCTTCCCCATTCTTCATAAATCCCAAGTGTGCATGACGTGTTTTACATTTACCCGTTGAATTCGATACTCGGTGTGAATTGCTCTATGAAAAAAAAAAGAACCAAGTCCCTCCACCCGAGGATCGATAGCTTTTCTCCGCTGGCCATAATATCTATTTCCACATTTAGTTGAGACAATTTTATAAAAAAAAACAAATACCACTTGCCTGCCTGTTACCAAACCTGTTGACTATATCGCCCGAGGAAGAGCGCTGGAAATTGTTTGTTTGATGCTTCAGCAAGTATTGGTGAGTGATAAATTTTTTTTTCATTAAATGTTCCATGAAAAGTGAGAAGAAAACTCGAAATTACAATAAACAATGCTTCCGTTCGGAAGTAAAAATACCAAAATTTCGGATATCTCGGAAAATATCGGAGGTAGCGATATCCATGTGACTACATTTTCTGGAGCTTTAACTTTGTTTTATAAAAAAGTTCTTTATCAAGATCCCGTATATCTTGTAGTTTTGAAAATCGAGGGAAAATCGGGGTGGATTGGAGGGCTCTTGGGTTTCTTCTCGTTTTTCTCAGCCCCAGAATCTCTAAATGTTAATCACAATTCATAACATCAATGCACTTCATCCCTCCACTTATTCTAGGCCACAAAAAACTTAAGAAAACAAAAAAACAAGTATCTAAACCACACAATTCAATGAAAACACGACCCTATAAAGGAAGAAACATGAACAGAATTCCCAGTGGATGAGGAGCTGTGGACAACAAGTATTTGTTCTACCGAAGCGAAAACATTCTCAGGAAGATAATGGAGTTTGTTTCCCCCAAGAGAGTTGAGGGGAAAAATAAAAATACTAAGCAATAGATAAAACATGCAAAAATTATTCTGGAGCAAGAGTGTTTATGCTTTTTCGCTGAGCATACTAACAATAATGAAATTTCACTCATACTCGCCTTTTGGTTTGTATAACTAACAAATAAGCTTTAATTTTTCTTAGCTTATTCCAACTGCAATTATCCCAGAAATCTCGGATCAGTTTCGGAATTTTCCGAGCAAGGAAAACCGGCAAGGCCTAAAAATTTGATTTTTCCAGAGTAAAACTGACCTACGAAAAAATTTAATGGGAACTTTTTTATTGGGAATTTAATTATCTGCAAAAAAGATCCTATATCGTTTTCACGTAGGACAGCTGGTTAACGGGATAATTGAGTGATTATAAAAAATTTCAATCACCGAGTGATTTCAAACCAAGATCGTCCGACTAAACTCTTGCGATAATATCTCCCCAATTGACGGTCCTGCGCAAAAAAGTGATAAAGCATTTCTGTGGGAAATTTTCCCTTCTTCAAAAAAGGTCCTACACCTTTTTGTCCTAAACCCAGTGGTTTCCGAGATATCTCGAGAACTGCGAGATCTCAAAAAACCAAAAACCTACGTTCTGCCCCACAATTCAATAAATCGATAAAAAATCAATGGTGGAATTGATAAAGATTCAAAAATTTGATTGCAGTTCCGCAAACGGTGAAGCCTCAGAAGTAAGAAGCTACAGTATCACCAGTGCCAGCAGGAATCTGCAAAAGAGCCCCTGAAAACCTCAAGAAAAACCCAAAAACGATGAGAAACCAGCAGTCGTTGAAGAAAAAAAAAACCATTAAATTGGAGGCGAGTGAGTGAGAGTGTGAATTTCCCCTCCCTAAAACCGAGGAAAACACTAAGATAAAAGCACCCACGTGCAAAACAAGACAACTAAAACCCAAAAAAAAACGACAAGAACCAAAAAAGAAAAAACCCACTAACCAGAGAAGAGAGTTGAATAAATCGAGAAAATATTGTACGAGTTGTAGATAGAGATGATGCTCAACGTATTCGCGTTGATCTTGGAGATAAAATTCAGTGGAGAATGAAAGAACAACGGAATAAAATAAATAATCATGACGAGATTGTAAGAACAACTAGGTGAAACGAATAAAGATAAAATAATTCATGGAATGATAATTTTTTCCAACAGAACTAACTGAATAGAACACAATCATCAATTATTCATTTGCAAGATATCCAACGCGATTGGAGCATTTTTTTTTTATTTTTAATTTGAATGAGAAAATCAGATGAAAGCCGTGAAAAACTTTCGCGAGGTATTCGTGGGGTTGTCACTCGATTAAAATAGCGATAGCTCGAGAACGGGGGATTTATCGAAAAATATCAACAAGAATGGATGGCAAAATCCTGAAATAAAAGGCGACATCCATCCGGAAGCCAATTATGATAATCTTATCATTCATTTGAATCGAATAAATTCATTTTTTTTTGGGATAAATCACTTATGGGGTGTCAACCATTGTTAACTGTAAATATATTGTACGAATAATCATCAGTCCAATGAAAGTATAAAATCGTGAAAGTTTTTAAAACGAAAAAAATATATTTTACCTAAGAAATTCAATTTTTTTTTGTCTTCGAGACGAGACTTTCGCTCGTGGATTAGTTGTTATAATATATATATATGAGATATATATATGAGGTGTTACATTATACGTCTTGTTACCCAATTTATATGCGCCCGAGACAATTTGAGAGGTTTATGAAGATATTTTCGCGTAAATCGTCGTCTTAAGAAGAGATTTTTGATGAATTTCGAGCGAGAAGAATCGGAGATTAATTATCTCAACACAGAGTGCCCCCACACCAAAAATCACTGAACATTTTTTGTCAGAAATTTAATTCTCTACAAAAATGGTCTTATAACATTTTCCCCGGCAATCATTAATTATCAAGATAAATCAAAAATTTAAAAAACCCACGAGACCTACATTCTGTCCTTCAAAAATTCATCTATACACATTTCAACCTCTATTATCTCCTCAATGATTAGCTCGACGTAAAAAAGTGATAAGATCATTTTTGTGGGGAATTTTCCTCTCTACAAATAATGTTCTGTACTCCTCACTCCTGGAGCCTAGCCGTCACGAGATAATCACGATCCACTCGATGTAACCAACTCAATCCTTAAATTCATCTTTTACGAGGAGTTGCTGAAGTGATAATCGATATTCTTCGGGTTATCTATCATCGCGGCTTTCATCAACGCCTGTACCAACCCATTACCACCCCTTTTTCCACCCCTTCATACCAGCTTTTCTGTTGGCAATTGGAAGTCAATCATCCGGAGATCTAGATTATTGATAATGATAAAGGAGTAGTGGTGATAACCGAAATGATCTATTTCAGTTGTTCCCCTGAGATTGATCACAGGTGGCAAAGGGGGGTGGGAGGGGGGTAATAGATTGCCCAGGAGATTTTCCATAGAATAAGAAAAAAAAAATCCTTCACTTCGATCTTCAACTCTCGATGATTCTCCGATTTTTCTCGCTCGCAATAGTTGAATTTTCAAGTGAGTATATTATACCTGTTAAATAAAGTATTTTATTCTAAAACGAAGTATCTAGAGTTAAACACAAGAATCCTCCATTATTTGTTATGTACGAATTGTATGAGGAAGAAAAAGCGAGGAATAAAGGTTTGGAAATAATCGATGACTTTTTATTCCCGCAGATCAGCCGATAAATCTCAAAAACTGCTAGTCGCACTGGAAAACTTCAAAGGAATTTTTTATAGCCCATGAAATTGCCTAGAAAAATGGTCTTTTGATGTTTTTCGATAGAACCCCCTCATACCACGTAATCTCTCCGAGTTCTTCAAGTAAATAGAAATTAACTCGAGTTAAGGACAGTCGATTCTCCCATTACCCCACAATTTTATTTGCATCACTTTTTTTTTTATTTTCTCCATGAATTCATCAATTTTCCGTTCGAGGTTGGCTGTCATGTCCTCTCCAAGGATCATCCCCTGGCACGAGGATTTTCTCATACTGTCAATCACTCAACTGCCCCTCGCTATGAAAACCCTTCAGATCCCCATCAATTCTCATCTTGCCCAAGGGTTCATTGGAGGATGAAAGAGCTCCAGTAAATAGGGGTGTTGATAATTTAAGGACTTAATCATCCAGAAATGATGTGGGTCCAGACACGGAAGAAATTCTTGATTCCGTTTGCTACTTTTAGACCCTCATTCGCTAATTCCCGCTGAAAATCTTTCAGAACTTTCGAAAGATTGACTTATTGATACTCAATAGATTAATTCCAATGGATTTTCTCCAATTAATCCATCGAGAATATCATTCCATCAAATATTTTACAATTTAAAGCAACTTCTGGGCTTTCCTTTTTATTTTTTTTTGAATGGAGTGCATTTACGATATTAATTGATGGAATATTTCATTCGAGGATCCATCGAGCATGAATTTATTACCGATTAATTGTGTAATTCTGTTAATTCAATATTTGGGAACCCATAGATTTCGAGTTTGAAGGTAAACAGCCCCGGGTGGATGAGTCCATCGGAGAGGCTACTGTTCAGTTGTTAATACTGACATTTATATAGTCATTTTGAGATATTATTTTCTCTGGATATTTACCCATCGATTCGCCCGTTTTAGCGATTCTGTGAAATAACCACTATCTAGTGCAATTTCTAGTGGAAATTTCCTCTCTGATGTCAGTGCCAGGTGGTGCTCCAGGCAAGTATGCCATTTAAATCGAGATTAAAATCATTTTTAAGGGAGAAAAATCAGGTATATCGACGCGGTTCTCTACGCGAAACAGAGCGCAACGATTTCTGCCTCTGACATCCCTAAAACCACAGGGCCCACAGGAAAATCACAGAGGAATTTTTTACAGCCCATGAAATTGCCCAGAAAAATGGTCTTTTGATGTTTTTTGGTGGGTCCTTTAGTTCCTGAGATATCTCGAGTTTTATCGGGAGAAAAATCGAGCAGATCGATCCTATCGACGAGTCCTGGAGAATTCACTTGTCCTGGAGGTGTCTATCGGCCAAGAAATCAGAACAATCAGAGAGAAAGTTTGGAACAATTAATCAACTCCGTAAAGTAAGTGTCCTGGGGGGTAAGTGAATACGTTATATAATTCTCTGTGATTCAACTATGCAATTCCATCAGAATGACGGGTTAATTTCATGAGAGAATCTCACAACGAGATGGATTTTGGAATTGTTGGAGCGGCTACGAGTGCCATATCCAGGCGCAGTCATGTTTACATTGGCCCCGAAAATTGTTTGATTGTTTGTCTGTGCCTGGTTGCCTTGATAAGGATAACTGAGGACAAATGATTAATGCATTTCTCGTATTATTCGAGAGAAATGAACAATCGCAGGTGCAGATCATTTCGAAGAAGAGCAATTCCATTTTTTCCTCTCGAATGGAATTATTTTTTGGTCTATCATACCAAAGAAAAATCAGTAATTGAAATTTTATGGAAATGATTGATAAATAAATAATTGTTAATGGCGAGCAGATTCTATATGGCGTCTGGTGAACAATTCGCGTTAATTACTTAAATTAGATAATTAATTTACCTGTCGTAGGCGATCTTCAGTAGAATCTCGTTCTCCCCAGTTTTCACCGTCTCACAAAATCCCCGGAGACATTAAAAATCGATTGTTCATCTTCTCGCTGGCTCTAATAAAAAAAAAAGCGGTTTTCAAATTTTTCCTGAGAAATAAAAAATATTAATCTAAAAATTAAGGAGTTAGAAAAAAAAATGTCTTTTTTTTATTGCTCCAGAATTTTCCAGTTGTTTATATTTATATTTGTTCCTATTGTTTATATTTATTATCATTGTTACTTATATTTTTTCTGTTATTTACTCCTGGTTTTTCGATAAGTAATTGAACGATTATTATTTGTCAGAGTTTGATGGCGCGAAAACTCACCCCCTCCTGAAAATTGATTGATTCAGTCAATGGGATTTAATTGATTGGCGGTCTTTCTTCGTTTAAACGAGCATTTACAAGTTAAATGTGTTCTCATGTTGATATTTCACGTGACTGACGCGCCCTTTCATCCGCGAAAAAAAATATACTCCGTATATGAATCTAGGCCGATAGTTTATGTCAACAAAAAATATATATATGTATTGCAAAACAAACACGAAATATGAGAGATTATTCATTGTTTTATGAAAGAGAGGAATCGCAATAACAAAACATTTTTTTATTTTTCTCTTTTTTTATGAAACAATAATATACAGATATTCTTCTATCATATAGTAATAATTCCATTCACAATTTTATTTACAATTACAATATATTCTTCTTAGTCCAGTGAAATTGATAAGCCGTTGGTGATAAAATTCAGTGGAAATGAATCTACATTATACGAAAATACTGAAATCAATAAAATTACGTGGTGTCTTGGTGCAAAAAGTGATGACGTCAATTCTTGAGTATTTTATTCGTTTCTTTAGTTACTTCATTGGGGGAAAAAATGCCTGATTGAGTACGTGAGTCTCGTTGCACTTGATTTTTGAGTTTTTGACTCACACATCCAACACGCGTCACTTAACCCGAAAACCGAGGGATTTACGGAGTGGAAAATAGGCCCATCGGATAGATGGGAAAAAATAAGTTCGAATAAAAAAAAAGACGAGTCACGTAGCTCGAGTGAATCCTGAGATACTCGAGAAAAACGAAATCGAGTCGAAAAGGTTTTTGCCCTGTATCTTCGGAAATAGCGGGTCAACACGGGTCGTTTTTTTTTTCATTTGAGGTAAAATTCCCCCATCTTTCTGATGGGCCTATTCCGACAAGGCTCCCCTCAATGGTTCTCAAGGTGAATTCCTCCAGGAGCTGCTCCTGAATGTGAGAGCGATCTGCTCAATTTTTCCCCCGACGGATTTCGAGATATCTCAGAAACTATGGGCTATATCAAAAAACACGAGAAACCTCTTTTCAGGGTAATTTAACGAACTACAAAAAGTTCCTCTAGGGTTTTCTGGTGGGCCCAGTGGTTTCCAAGACATCTCGATTTTTCTCCGCTAATTACCCATGAGGCTCCGTTCAAAACACTCTGTCCACTTGACATCAATTGAATACTGTCCATTTAATTTTTTCAGTCATCAGACATACTTTGTACAAATAGTTCTGGAATAGTCGTTACTCATTGAACATTAACTCGTCGTGAAGATAGTGATGGTGATGGTAAGAGTAAGGACGATTGGGATAATCTGGTGGGCATTGGATTTGCTAGGTGGATTTCTCGCTTGATCGTTCATCACGTCGCTGGATATTGCTGCGCTGTTGGGCTCCGCTGAGGGACAGCTTATCGGTGCCATTATTGTTTCGTTGATTATAGCTGAGTCTCGTGAACAACGACTTGCGTGTCTCCCCATGCAGGAGGCGTATGCTATTGCGTGGGGAATGTAGCTCTGATCGATGCTGCCGGAGAATAGGACGCTGGAGAGCGGTCCTATGGCGAACACTGGGACATCCTCACCAGCATGGGTTGCCCATGATCGAGGAACACCTGCCGTCTGTTGATTAAATTCATGGGTTTCAGGTAAAGTGTCACAATCAAGGGATTTGTTGAAACTTTTAAAAAATCTCAACGTGAATATCGGTAACTGTGTTCACTGGGTGGGGCATTTTAATCGATTGGCACACCTGAATAGAATCCTTTCCAGCTTCCCGCATGACGGATCGCGGTTCCGTGTGACCTGGACCATTGCTGTACAAGAGGGTTGTATAGGGCTTTCCATCCACGTCCGACTTTTTGCTGTCAGACCCTTAAAAAATAATAGAAAAAGTTTATTCGATTTGATTGGAATTTCTCGTCTCTCAGTTTCTCGCCGATTGCATTACCGGTTTATATTGAGTTCAGGACAATTAACCGAGGTAAGACGATTTCCAGTCGAGGGAGAAAGGGTAAATTTGAGAGGGAGAATAAAATAATATAAGGGTCAGGGTGTTTGTTTTTGTCTTGTCTTTGTTGGGGGATGAGTGGGGGAAAAATAGAAAAGAGAATTAAATGAACTGCTTCGGGGAAGAGGAGATAGCGAGAAGAAAAGGGGTTTTGCGTCTCAGGAAAATGGGGATGTCGATGTTTTATTCAGGTGTCGACGAGCGTATCTAGGGGCTCTCCCTCTTGGGGAACACCTTCGTTCTGGTGTACTATTTTTTTCCCGCTTTTTTTTTTACTTCCGCGGGGTTTCTCATTGTTTGGTTATTTAACATTTCACTCCTACGGGCGTTGCTGTTTTTAGACGATGATCGCGCTGAATTGTGAGGAGATAGAGAATTTTTGTATGAACATTTTTTGTGGCTCTTCGAATTCTCTACAAAAAGTTTTATCATGAAGATCACGCTATCTCCACTAAATTCCGAGGTATTTACGTAATTCCGAGCGAGAGGAAATTGACATGAAAAAATCATGCCTAAAAACGGATTCCGTGTTTTCGGGTATACCTTGAGATCTGGAGGAGATGGAGAAATTTTAGTTGAAACTTTTTTTTAGATCATTGAATTCTCTACAAAAAAGGTGGTTAGAAAAATCGGGCTATCATCTATAGATTCTGAGAAAATTGATTTGAAATTTTAATACTGAGGACGTAGTGTGAAATCACTAGTACCAAAATGTTTATTTTCTCTCAGTATACCAGAGGGTGATTCTGCTGTACGTTTTCCCTGATTATGACCAATCTTTGGCAATAGTCCGCAAAAATCTCAGACACGTAAGATTCTCAATAATCTCGGGAATAATCCGGATGAAATCAAATGCGTTTTGGGTGTGCCACAAAGGCTATGCCAAGGTGACCCGCAATAATGCCGTATGGAGAGAGAGAAAACTAGCGTGAGAGGGTAAATTCGAAGAGGTTTACCACTGCTACCGGAAAACCCGATGTGCGGAACACGGAGAAAAGCCGCATTGTCCCATTTCAAATATACCACCCTCCAAAACCCCTTCTCCAGAGAGCAGTATACGTCGCGTCACTCTTTTCATAATGGAATCCCGTGAAAAACACGTATTGTACTTTCGGTGAATGGGAAAAAGAGGTAGAAAAATAATCTCTTTCGTTGTTTTCCCCCGGTAAATTCGTGTGTCCAGATAAATTCCGTGAAAACAGCGTTGGCTGTTGCGTGACGCAGGTGAAATTGAAACTTGACGAGCCAAAGGTTCTCCAACAGAATATTGAAAGAAGGATTGCTTTTCGGGGTGTTTGGGGGTGAGAGCACGACCGGAGAGAGATCTCACCCTCTTGGAGTGACAAATTCGGGAAATTTCGAGACATATTAATTATTTTATTCAATGATTACTATTCTGGCTTAATCAATCTCGTTATTAATTTGTCTATTTATACGCGGAGAGAAATATTCATGAAAAATTACGGAATATTTTACGCAATATGCAAGCGATGCAATCATCACATAAATTCTACGACCTGTTCCGTAAAAATTACTCAGTCATCTGACGTCTCATGGCTAGCTATGAGTCACTGTGAGGGGGGATTTTTTACGGAAATTTCCGTAATTTTTCCGGAAATTTCCGTAATTTTTCCGGAACGTTCCGTAAAAATTCTTGAACATCCAGTAATTTTTCTGTTCTGGGGCATAATAAGTTGAAGTTTTGTTCGATTTAAAAACTTCCAGAAAAATTACGTGACTTTTTCGTATTTTTTCGGTGACAGAAGCCAAAAATTTACTGAAACTTCCAGATTTATTCCCCGAAAACGATTCCTACTGACGGATTACGTGAAATATTCCGTAATTATTCTTGAATATTTCTCTCCGTCGAGAATGTAGTAAATAAAATAGTACTTTAGGAATTTGAAATGCCATCGAAGCGTAGAAGTGATCAAGACTGGTTTCCAATTAAAGCCTGGGAACTATCGTTTTGAAATCGCTCAATCAGGAACATTCTCCCGAGAGTATGTTTGCGTTAACAATTGTCGAGCGAGTAAATTTCCGTTGCCATTCTGGACAATGCGTTTGAGTATAGCCTAACATCGGCAACAATAGTGTATACCTGTAGGTGACCAAGTTAATTTGGAGAAAGCCGATTCGTGCGAAGGCAAGTGTCCCGTTCACTTCACCGAGTGAACGAGGAGTTGAACAGGGATGGATAAACCTCCTCTGGGGTAAATGTAATTTACCCGGTGGTGGGGTAGAAGGGTGAAGGTCTGGGACTACATGCTGGACAGCGAAAGGAACGAGAAATGTGGGGGGAGGGTAGAGGGCTTTTGGATTTACCCGGTCCACTTTCCAAAGTTTCGGGGTACAGTGTGTGTATGCATTCGCCTTTTACACGAGTTTACCAAACTCTATGTCGCAAGTAGCTCTCTTGCCCAGTTTCTGTGTAAGTTGCGAATCTCTCTCGACGTATTTTCAGGGATTTTCAGGGGAGAATGGTAAATTATGCCGATGTCCGGGATAAAGAGCTGGATTTTCAGCCAAAAAATAGTGAAATCCTTGCTGGTTAGGGGAGGAACCCAGGCATTACACGTGGGATGGAGTGGTACGATCCTAATGAGCCTCGAGGTTTCATAAATTCACTGACAAAGCTACTCTTAATTTTTTTCCATTTCACTCCGCCATTTTTTAATTTTCAATTGATGATCATTAAATATTTTTTAGTTTCGATTTTATGGAGCGTTTCAATCGAAAAATTGTTTCTCGTTTCAGCCTGATGGAATGGGGATTCAAAGGAGGTGAGGGTAGACTACAGCTGAAGGTGTTCGAAGTTGATAAAAATTTTGAAATGCAATATTTTTTCGAATATGACGCAGTCGGTGGTCATTTCGGGAGACAGTAAGTACCCTATTATGTTTTTGACGGAGGATTTAACTGGCTCTTCAATGGGGACATTGTCTCGATCCCCCATCCCCGTTATAACAGTTTCCAACGTGTTATTTATTTTCCGAGATGAGCAATTTCCTCCAAGAGATTATTCTTTAGGATTTTTTAATCAACGAAAAAGGGTGGAAATTAAGAATTTTCTTGTACCGGGGAAAAACAATTCAAGGAGTTTGCCAGAATGAATTCCCAATCCTTTTCACTGGACGACTGCTACCTTTTAACGCTCAAGATATTTATGTAGATTTATGCAGATACATGCTGGCGTATACCCCCCACCCATCCCCTCTAGTTTCTCAGTCTTACTTTTTTCTTATCTCGGATGCTCACGACTGAGGGGGAAAAAGAAAATACGAGTCGCTTCCCTTTATGACTCGATTCCCTCTTCGATATTTCCAATTCAGAAAAAAAATGGTTTGATTGAATTGTTTTAAGGGGCTTAATTCAATTCCTTCCAATCTGGCGAGATTTCATTAATTTCAGTCTGCGGATCAACTGCGGTTTTTCCATTTTTAGGGTTAAATCATCAGTCTGACTACTGACTGACATTTTCTACTGCGAAGATGTTCTAGATACTCTAGTTAAAGTATTTACAGTTTTTTTATTTAAGAATCAATTGAACTTGGCAATTGCTATTTCGAACTTTATAGTTGTAATTCTTCAATAATTTTTAGGGGACGGAATTTGCATGTAACCAGATCGGGAAGATATTCATGAAGCCATCCGGTCGGATTATTCCACTTAATTTCAAATATTACTCTTTCCTTTTTTTATCTCTCGGTAATCCTGTGTAACATCTTTTCCGATTTTCCACTCTCCCTATGTGAACGTATAAAACCATGGAGGCGATCCACTAAAGCTCAATCTAGACTACCCTCAGCATTCCCGTAACGCTTATCCCACCCCCTCTGACCTTACCTCCAACTCGTATTGCATAACGACAATGAGGGGAGGGGGAAAGAGGGGTTGGAACTCGGTGGATAACATCTCGGAGAAAATCCCCCTGGATATCTAGTGAAATTATCGCATCGTAGTTACCGAGGGGCTCAAAAGGAGGAATAAGTCAGCGATTGAAATGAATTGGATTTTATAGAATTTTGAGGTCTGGGGCTTTTTTTTATGGGACTCAATTGATTTTTCTGAAGTTTTCAATAGCTTTTTATGTCGGAGCAATTACACTCAATATTCATGATTTTTCGAAACGATATTATTCGAAATGTTATGAGATTTTGTCACGATGTGGTTTTTCTTCTGCTCCCGAGGCACAATTTGCTTGACAATTAGTAACTCTTTTGATTTCCGCAACGATTTCCTAATTTTAGCGATTTTCGCGATTTTTTTAAATTTTTAAATTTTTTAAATTTTTTGAATTTTTCAAATTTTGGCGCCCCCCGCACCGTGGCAAAATTCATCCAATAATTCGCCACCAACTTTGGTTTCCGCAATGATTCCCAAATTTTTGCGATTTTTTGAACATTTTACATTTTTTGAATGTTCAACGTTTTGCCGCCCCCGCCCCCACGCAAAATCGTGTCAATAATTCGCAACATCGATTGCTCTCCTGGGATTCCCAAGTTTTCGTGATTCTTTGAATTTTCAAAATTTCGGGTCGTTTTGTCTATTACTCTTACGGCGATTCGAGATATGTCGAGATATTTGGAGATCGATTTCCTTTCTTCTTTTTCTATTACGAGGATTACGAGTGAATGTGAGGAAGGGGGAAGGGGTTAGTCTGGTGCTAATCAGATGAAAAATTTATCAAGATGATGGGAAAATCTTAAAAATAGCGTAAAATTTGTGGAACGTCACCCAGTGGTGACAATTGAAAATTTGTTTGTACAAAGGGTTTTATGGAAAATGCTGAGGAAACAATTCAGGCGTACTAACCGAAAATTGGATTTCCCCGTAGTGTAGCTAGTCCACCGAGTGTCAATACATGGGAATGATCAGCGGTGACTACCAGCAGAGTCTCGGATAGGTCGACCTCGTTCAAGACTGCTCGCACTGCCTCCTCCATCGCCAGTGTCTCATCCAGGGCACGATAAGCATTATTATAGTGATGAGCATGGTCTATCCTTCCACCTATAAAAACGGAGAAAGAAAATTTCTTATTTTTCGGTCAGAGATACTGTCCAGCGAATAAACTGGCCGATAAATTTTTATCGAGCCAAAATAATTAAATCCAATGGGATCTTTAATTTTGAAGTCTTAAAGTTGGTAAACGTAATTGGTGGCTTTTAATTGGTCCATTGGGGTTGAATTATCTCAGTTCTAACTAACTCTAGAGAAAAATGTCAGTTACATTTTTGGCAGTGAATTTTATCGTCTACGAAAAATTATTATTGCCATTTTCTTTTAAACCCGTAGTTTTCGAAATGTACGTTTTATCACTTGACTGACGAAATAAACTGAATCCTCTGGGGTGCCGTATATCGCCCGGAATGTAGACTCGTTAACGTCTTTATTATGAAAGTGCGTCTCTGGAAAGTGGCTAGACTGCATTACTTTCTTCTACTGCCAAAGTTTTCCACAATTTTCTTCAGTCGCAAGTCGTAAAATTCTCCTGATGAACGAGACAAAAAATCCCCGGCGATTCGAGATTGTTGGAGATAACTGGATACGATTTTACCGGAAAAATAGCTTTCGTTACAAATTTACCAAGATTCTAATCGAGGATAATGTCTACGTGGGGTGAGTGTATCACCCGGGGTTAGGAGAATCATTCCAGAAGAATTTCGACTTTTATATCTCGATAAAAATGGAGCTTCCTCAGGAAAGGCCCATGGGATTGGAATGGTATATGTTTCATTGAAAAGCCGAGAAAATTTATGACGAGATTAAAAAAAAAATGGGTTCATTTTGCCCCAGCCTTCTTTAGAATATTGAGTGACGCCGAATGACTGTCTCCATTTTAATTTCATCAATAAATTTTTGAATTGTTCCGCGCTGCAATTTTTATCCCATTAGTTCTAACATCTCCGGAGGTATTTGCGAAAGAAAATGGGACGAGATTAGACTTGTGGTTTATTACTGGATTCCGCAGTTAAATATCACAGCACATGCTGCATTATTGGATGACGAAGTGTCAGTCTGCACTGAATGATGGGCTTTGGTAATTCCAGTCTAGTTTATTGGATATATATAGATGTAGAAAATTTAGTGGCGTGGAACCTGAGATATCCTGAAGATCTCAGACTCCTGTGGGTGTCAGAGTCACTTTGGGGTGGGCACTAGATGTTCGAGTACATTCGACTTCGTGCCAAGAATACTTGGGGCTACACTCGTCTTCGACGACAGGTAGAGTCGAGTTTAGATTGAACAAACAGAGGAGTCAAATTTGTGATTGAATTTTCATGAGTTTTACTTTGACACCTTTTTATTTTAATAAAACGAATCCTCGGAGAAATGGATAAATTCAATTGATCTCGTTCGAGAGTCCAGGGAATTTACGTTTAAACTGAGGAAAAAGTGATCTACTTTGGGACATTAGTCTCGAAAAAAAAAAACGGAATTGTACTTGGCGCACGACGTGACCGTCACGTTGGATTCGGCAATTTATTTGCCAATTTTCTATTAAACTAGAGAGAAAAAATAGACAATTTTGTTTTTTAAATTGAATGCTGTAGAGTCTGATGAGAATGGGCTGCCAATGAATTCGCTCGCTAGAAAATTTTTCGTGTTTGTCTTTGTGTTGGTATTGAATCGATTTATTTCAATTTCAACTTTTCCAATTTCCATTTTCAATTGTTCTATCTTCCACCATTGGGCGATTTTCATTCGCCCCTTAGAATCCCTGTTGAAACCCCTTGACGATCGTTGGGCTTGGTAAGTTGGACTGTTCACTAAGCTTTACCCTCGACAAACAAGAAGAATCCCTTTGGGTTTTTCTTGAGTATCCTCAGCGCTTTTACGGTCATTTCAGTGAGTGATGGATCACCAGTGGCGGATGCATTGCGATCCACCTCAAAGTCCATGTGGGAATAGGCAAACAGACCTGTGGACATTCAAAGTTGATGGTCTGGGGCATTAACCTTGAAGGATAAGAATTTCCATGCATTGGCAAATCATCGAGATACTGGGAGATACTGGAAGATTGAGGAGAACCTCTGAATCTCTCTATCAAAAATCAAAATAAAATCAATCAATCGTAAAATAATACCTAGCAGATGATCGACTCTGCCAGGATCAACATCATCAAACTGCTCCTTTGAGAATACGTATTTAGACGTTGGCTCAGGATGACTCTTTGTCCATTCCGTAATGAGATTTCTCCCATCTAAACGTCTGCCTTCCTTATCCGGATCCTCAGGGTCCGGCGTGACTTTTGAGACGAAATGCCGCCTCCCACCACCCAGGATAACCTGGAATTCCAATATCACTCGATAAATTTGATTAATCCCTTCGAGGAATGATGGGAATGCTTCATCCTGGTGCAATAACACAATCCAGGGACAGTAACAATTTAGCTCGGATAAATTGAGTAAGTAATTACTGACATTCAAGTTTCTCCCGGGCTCGTCCTCAACAAGTTGTTTAGCAATGTCTTTGCAATTTGTCCTCGCGGGTGAAGGCACTTTTCCATCGTCCTCCCAGTATCTGCTGGAGGCATGAGCATAAAGGGCTGCTGGGGTGGCATGGGTCACCCGGGTAGTTGTTACTAGGCCTGTCGATTTTCCTGTTAACACAACCAAGTGAATTACAAAATGTCATCGTAAATCCAGAATCCATTCATTGAAATTACCGCATTACGAATGGAATGGCAATGGACTAGAGATAATGATTTTTTTGAAAACGTCTTTTTTATTTTACCATCACGATCAATTACGGATAATTACGGATAATCAGGCAGGATGAAAGGGAAAGAATGCAGCCAGTGTATATTTTTATTACTAATATTTTTTAATACACTGATCAATTAATTGCCAAATGATTCTCCGAAATTTAGATTGTCTCGGAGAAAAATCTTCTCTCTGCATTTTCTGAAAGGGGAATGAAGCGAAACAACTAGTTTTTCTTGCAAATTAATACTCTATTCTTCAACCTCCTCAGGATGCTCTACCCATTTCTCTACCCCCTCCAATCCCTCATTCTCACGAGAACACCATCCCGGAAACACCGAGTTTTCCCTCATTTTCCCTCATTTTCCCTCCGCTTAATAACATAATTCATTTGTAATAATACAGAGTGCACGGTTTGTATAACACTGTAGCCTCGTTCATTTCCGGTCATTAAGATGAATTGCCACGGTTGATTAATAGCCCAGTGTTTGCCAGTGACGTACACAAACAACTCGTTTGTATCAGATACTGGTGTATTTATCTTTTTTGGGTTCTACACGCGCGTAACCGTTTGTTATGGCGTTTAATCCTCTCCATTCAATTTCTTATTTACGATCAGACGAATTGCCACGCCCATCTCGTTTCTTCAACGCTCATACCCCACCCTCTGATACCCCTCAAACCTCTTTTTTCCCCTCTTTCTGAATAGCGCACGTACCCATTTCTCATGCGTTATATATAGGGGGATGATAAAACTCCAGTCCAACGCTTCTTCCGGATGGCTCCTGGTGGAAATAACGCCCACCGATCGGACGTACGTTAAAGGGATATAATCCAGCTGTTTCCGAGTCATGAAGAATTTATGAACTGATTAACCATCACATAGTGGCTCTATTCTGCTTCGCTGTAAGTGGTTCATACTTACGGGTCAATGAATTCATGTCATTGGTTGTTAGGGTGAAGTTTTGGGGTTTTATTCCCTTCCGGGTTTTTGGTACCGTTGAAATTTTCCAGGGCTGGGATTCCCCGAGTTCAGGGGATCTTAAAACCGTTAAATGTCAACCAATCGGAGACACGTATTCAGAAAGCCTGCATTACCGACTGATCGAAATATCAAGTTTTTGAGGTACTCCTAACGCGGGGATTCCCCATTAATTGATTGACAAACTTCATTCATTTTTCGAGGCTATAAAATTTCAGTTCCTTTTTTTCCTTCTAGAAAGATTTATTTATTCACTTATACCTGTATTAGGGGTGGGGGAGTGTGAGGGGATGTTGGAATTTGATGGGATTTACTCTCGTCTTTTAGATGTGCTTCCTAGAGTGGCTAGGGATTCTCGAGATGTTCAGGATTGAATAAATTTTGAGGTTAGTCACCTCTCTCTTGTGCCCATTCCACGATTGACGGGACCCTTGCGGTTTGACTTGAGAGGCAGTTGTCGAACTTAGCTGACGAGTCTAATCCAACAGTCTCGTAATTGGCCTTGACTCCACATACTAGAGCTGTTGCACAAGCCGAGGATTCACCCACTTGTGCATCTTTGTTGTAAGTCTGCAACAATAAAAAATATTTTCGTCTTTTTTATCCAAGAACGATAGCGCGCTGCAATTATAAAAATCGTGATTAAAAATTGTTAATTTAAATGAGTTCCAAATTCAAATTAGCCGCCTCAGACGACTGAACCAATGAGGAGTAAGCGTGACAGACTTTCGAGATATCGATAGTCTCGATGTTTGTCCATATTACAATAGGAGATTACAATAGGATTCATTGCAATTAGCACTAATTACGCGCAGATATATTCGGTATATATTTGATATATCAATGAGATATATTACATACGACAAAAAACCACATGTTACACATATTACATATAATTACTGGCATATATTTTTTCCGGAAGGGTCGTATAAGTTAGTAAATATTTAGTAAATATCAGTGAGATTTGGGGAGCAAGACAGCAATGGTGAAAATATATTTTTTGGTCACGATCGTGTCCTTTTCAACTCAGTATTATGATAATCTCATCGGGGGGGTGGGGGTGGAGCTAGTTTTTGCCGGATTTTTTTTTATTAACGGCGTCATGCTGAGGGGGTTGGAGGGGGGAGGGGGTGAGATGCCAGAACGGAATACATAAATCTCTCTGGTTTTATGTCGATGGCAGAGTCGTGATGGCTGATGTGGTTTTCTCGTCATTCGTAAACCTTGGGATGCGCATTTTCACGTATTTTCTACCATCCCTTCCCCCACTACTCGCGCTATTTTTCTCTCTATGTACCCTTTTTTTCCCGGACTCTTCCTTTTTTTTACCTTCACCATGTTTTAGGATTTTCTTTTTCCGGTTTCTTGGAGCAGATGGTCACGTCATTGGGTGGAAGTGAGATCATAAACCATGGCTCTGTGATGGCTACTCGAGAGATCCTAACTGCCGCAAACGGTGGTCGTTTCATTCGGGTCGATGCTGGAGATTACGTACTAACGTTGCCACGTTCAGATGTTCACTTGGTTGTCAATTTGAAGGGTTCAGATTGCCAGGGGGAGGTGAAAGAAATTGTTGGGTCGAGGATTTCTGAGAACGGAGTAGGTAATTCCTTCCGCAGAAAATGTGTTTTCATGTTTAGAGGGTATTTCATTCTGCGGATATTTGTCATCACGAGTGTAGGATAACGCGACAGTCGATTGAGGGAAAAATACTTGGACGACTTGACCGTAGCTCTCGCTAAGATAATTATTTTTCATTTTTCCAAGAAGTGGAGAATGTGAAAATTTTATTGGAGAAGTCTGTACGGTGTTAAAAAATCATTTCGATGTAAAAAAAATTCACGGCAATAACTCGGCAAGTGCTGGTGTTGAGAGGGTCTTTTTTTTTTCTCATCGTTTAGAAGTGCTTTTTTATTTTATAGGTTAATGAAAAAAGTGACGTGGAGATGTCTCAATTATCCAATCCGTGTGTTATCGGAGATATTGTCGGAGGAATTACACCCTAGAGCTCCCTCACTTAAACTGTCCCCCGAAGGCGTGACCAAGTGCCCAAAGTACTCAGAAACTGTAGTAGTCATGGCTCGTCTGACCAAACTAGGGGAAATGACATTGTGCGGTCGACCCAAAACCGACATCCCTACCCTTACTCCACCCTCTTCGGCATACCTTCACGTACAAACTCACTCGTGAAATTCTCCACACGTAAATTCAGGGCTCATTGAGAAACCCCAGCACGATGACTCCAAATAGTAAATAGGAAAAATTATTGCCACTGTCAAACACCGTTTTACGAATGTGTCGCACCATCTGTGAGATTTTTTTTCACCATTTCCCTCTAATATATTGTGCATTTAGAAATTTCACTATGATGCACCAAGAGGAAAATTCATGAAACCAGAGAAGTAGTGCCCCATGTTGAGGTGATGGATTAGAAAAAAAAAATACATAATGGATTTTATTAGAGGGAATTGATAATTAGAATATCGATCTCTTGGAATAAAAATTGAGACAATTGAATGAAATCTATTAAAAGTTAAAATGATAGTTCTCATTCTTGAAAAAATAATAGCTCCATCCGCGTAAAATGTCTGGTAAAATTTTCCGAGATATCTAATAAAATTTGAGAAGCTTTAAAGTGTCACACAAATGCAGGAGAAATCCTCTCCATTTTCCCAGCTCACGTCATTTCCCCTCACTCGAGTCATAAATTTAGCAAAAAACTTTGTCCCTAAAAATTAAAAAATAATTTGTGCAAATAATTTTTACACCGTCTCCTAAAAAACTTGAATTATCAGTGGAAATAAGTTGGTTTCACTATTTTTTTAACAGACCTCACAAAAAACGAAGTTACACACTGAAGTAAAAAAAAAATTTATTCCCAGCGCACTCGCAAGTCTCATGTATAAGTTTCATGATAAACATTTATGTATACACGAATATATTTTCATGCATTTGCGCTTTGAATTTCCATGCACCAGGGGAAATAAACAGTGTAAGTGTGCGCCTGGGAGAGTGAGAGGGGTTGAAGGGGGTTGGTAGGCAACGAATATTCTGGATCATGACTGTTCTCAATGTTCTTTTCACCAACCCCACCGTATCCTTCTTATTCTTTTTGATACTTTGCCAGGAACACTTCGTTCACTCGTCTCGCTTCACAAGAGGCCGCGGAAGCTAGTACTTTCCATGTTCAATTCCATGTTCAACTTCTGTTTTATTGGATTTATCAGCGAATTCTTGCTCCGCGCGATTTCATTTTTATCCCTAACCACTAAAAATTCTCGAGAGTCATTATCGACACCAACAGTCGACTATTTCAATACAATATCCATTAAATTTCGATTATTTTTTTTCGTTTGTAAAATCCATATTTAAAAAAATTCTAATTTCTATTTTTTTAATCATTGGGTGGGTTACTAAATTAAGGAGTGATGTATGAGTATCAAAAAAATCTTGAGAATATCATGTTCTTGGGAAAAAGAGAGTTTATTCTCGGTGGAGCGGGATTGCACCTTTCTCTCCCTTTTCTGGGGATTTTTTTCTTTTTTTATTATTTTTCTCTGTTGAAGAATTTTTAAACTCGCTTTGAGGATGGTTGCACCTCGCGGCGATGCTTTTGGACAACAGACGATTCCTCCAGCTCTCAAGGCTTCGGGGTTGGTCTTTATGAATTGGTGAGGGATTGACTCCCGCTTTCGGTGTCTTTGTTTGCGGGAGCGGAAGGTCTTTTGTGTTGGTAGGGAGATTTTTTTTATTAAATTTTTCGCACCATGGAAATGGAGGATACCACCGCGACGAGAAGAATCCGGTGGGGATGACCTTTTTCCGGGTGAAATTTGAGCGATTTTCAAATCACGTCCGCAGTTACCCTAGAAAATTCTTCATTTTCATCAAATTAATTTCTCAAATTACAATTGATAATCAATCTACGGAAATTTGTAGGAAACATCTTCGGGGAACAATAGCTTCTCGTTTATTGCGAATAAATTCTCCTGGATCCCCAACAATTTCCCATTTTTACTTGAATAATATTATAAATAAAAAAAAGATTCATTTAATTTTTTGCGATTCCCTGAGTAACGAGTTTTTCGAGTAATGGCATTATAATGCAATTGCAACATGTCGTTGTCTCAACAATTTGAAAAATTTAATAAAAAACAAATTGAGAAAAATTGTTTTCCTCATTAATCAATTTTTACTTTAAAACTTAGCGAACTCATTATTTTTGAAAAACATTTCACCAGGAAGCCAAGGTTTTAGCGCGTACATATCGAGTAAAGTTGGAAGATCCTCGAGAGTTTGAGGCTAGAGTAGAACACGCTGAAGACACTGGAAATACGAGGAGATGTGGATGACGGGGAGGGTCGGGATGTGTAAGGATGAGACGTTTTCGTTGAGGCCAACTTAATTTCAACTCCCCCGGAGGGTATTCCCCGAAGAACGAGAAATTTTCACATCCGTCGGCGATATACCACCTATCCGGTAAGTGACTCAATTTCGTTATTCACTGGGTGCGTCATGTAAACGTGACACTGTTACTTGATGATTAACTTTATCACTTCACGTTATCCAAGGATTACCGCATTTACAGAAACAATCGATTAATCCTATGTCGCCCGAATGTCAGAACATTTTTCTACACTGAGAGAAATATTTAATAAAAATTACGTGTATTTTCCGTAATTCTGGAGCGAAATGTGGTTGTCGGAAATTTTACGGAACTGTCACGTAATTTTTAACTAAAGTCACGGAATTTTTATCTGAATTATCGGTGAAAAACAACGATACCGTCACTTAAATTTTTCCAATCAACTCCGTAATCGGTAAGTGAACTGAGAGTTCCGTAATTTTTACTAAATATTTCTCTCCGTGTACTATTTTTTTACGTCTCAATTATTATTATTCTATTTATATTTGAATCATTCCAATTATTAAATAAATATTGGATAGGGGCGGGGGCGGAAAAATTTTGAAAATCTCAAACTATCTCCTATCTATAGTAATAATAATAATTATTATATTTATATTTAAATCATCCCCTTTTCATCGTAATATCCTAATATAAAAAAAGAAGGGAAAATTCAAAAAATCGCAAACATTTGAAAATCATACAAATTATTGAATAAATTTGGTAACGGGGGCGGGGGCGGAAAAATTTTGAAAATCTCAAACGATTTCCTATATATAGTAATAATAATAATAATAATAATAATAATAATAATAATAATAATAATAATATTTATATTTAAATCATCCCCTTCTCACCGTAATATGCTAATATCCAAATATAAAAAAAGAAAGGAAAATTTTAAAAATTGCGAAAATTTGAGAATCATGGAAATTATTAAATAAATTTTGGCTAAGGGGCGGGGCCGGAAAAATTTTAGATAATCTCAAACGTATACCAATAATAATTTCATATATATATGGTCATATATTATGTTATATAACTCATGCGGATAAATCTATAAGTAGATATTTTGCACATGTTTCTTAGGGTAAAATCTCACGAGTTTTTGTTTTTTATTTGCTCACTATTTTCGTATATAAATTTTATGAACTAGCACTCAAGC